TTGGGACCTACCTTATTGGAGTTCTAATCTAATACGTCATAATTTGGATGTCATGCACATTGAGAAAAATGTCTTCGACAATGTGTTTAATACAACTATGAATGTCCCAAAAAAAACAAAAGACAATGCAAATTCAAGAGAAGACTTAAAGCTATATTGTCGACGGCTCGAATTAGAAATAAATGAAAACTCTAGAAAATACCCAAAACCCCGTTATGCTCTAGACAAACAATAAAAAATATAATTACTTGAATGGATTAAACAACTAAAGTTTTCGGATGGATGCGTCTCTAACTTGGCAAGGTGTGTGGATATGAATAACCTCGGATTACGTGACATGAAAAGTCATGATTGTCATGTATTTATGCAAAGGCTAATACTTATTGCATTTCGTGATATGTTACCAACAAATGTATGGCAATCACTCACCGAGCTTAGCTTATTCTTTAAGGAAATAATATCTACTGTGATTAAGGTTGAAGATATGATCCGTCTTAAGGAAAATATACCAATAATCTTGTGCAAATTAGAGCGTATTTTCCCACCTAATTTTTTCAACTCAATGGAGCATCTTCCCATACACTTGGCATATGAAGCAAAAATAGCCGGACTCGTACAATATCGATGGATGTATCCATTTGAAAGATATAAATTAATGATTTTAGTGGACATACGTAAGTTTATAACTCTATCAAATATTGATTAAGTCTAATGAACTCACAATATCATTGTAGGTACCTTCGCAAATTAAAAAATAATGTTAAGAACAAAGCCGTAGTCGAAGGGTCAATATGCAATGCATATTTAGTTGAGGAAGTTTCAATGTTCCGTTCATATTACTTCGAGCCTCATGTACACACTAGGCATCGAAAAGTGCCTAGAAACTTTGATCGTGATCGAGAACCGAATGAAAATATTGAAGGCATGTTAGCAATATTCATTCCTAAAGGTAGACCTCTTGGTCGAGCACGATCACATGTCTTGACGGATCAAGAAAAGAATGCAGCGCAAACCTACATTCTATTGAATTGTGATGAGGTCACACCGTACACGGAGTAAGTTTTATTACTATCAAATATTATTACTATACATTTATTCTTTAACAACCATTCAATTTATGAACATATAATAATAATATTTTTATCGTTAGATATTTTATCGATCAACTTTATGAACGTGACCCCGATATATCGAAAAACGAGGTTAATTTTCGACTTCAAAACCAATTTGCATCATGGTTCCATCGATTTGTGAGTATTCTTATTGTCAAGATTGTTATTAAATATTCATAAATTTATTTTATCAAATTTTATTATAACATTACATTATAAGTAACTCGGTCTTTACATACGAGCAAGTCGAGCATAACCTAAAACTATAATAGATCATTATATTAAAGATTTGGCCAAAGGACCATTGCGAACTGCGAAGTCATATACGGGGTACATTATAAACGAGATATAAGTTTCATACCGATGTTGGTGGTTCGGAGAGAGCATCAATATGTAGTGGAGTGTGTGTTAAAGGAGTTAGCTACGATGTGGTGAAAAATGACTACTACGGTAGGTTGATTGACATACTCGAACTTGAGTATCCAGCCTTACCAATAAAGAAAAAAGTTTTGTTCAAATGTGATTGGTATGATACAACACCCGGTATCGGTATACGAGTTCATGATCATTATGGACTAGTCGAGGTTCATAGTCGTAGGTATTCAAATAGATCCGATCCCTTCATACTAGGATTACAAGCACATCGGGTGTATTATGTAACATATCCTACATGTAAACACATACGACGAGATTGGTTGATGGTATGTAAGGTTAAACCAAGGCCGACGGTTGATGTGCCGTAAATATTTGTTACCATCGATCAAACCAATATCGAACCCTTTCAAAAAAATGAAATAGAAGGTCAACACAATGTCATGCACATTGATGATGATGAAGGTCGGTCATTGGTTGATCCTACTCGGAGCATTATTAGAATTAGATGGTGATGAAATAGATATTCGGAATGAATCGGAGTTAGAAACCGATGTTGAAGAAGACTTAGATAAAGAATGTGACAATGATGATAATGATAGGGATTAGAGATAATATGATATATCCTATTGGATTATGTTATATTGTATTTTTTATTCAATTCATAAATTATACACTTGGATTTTATGTAATTGCTTGTTCGAATTTAGGGTTTAGGCAACCTTGTCCTCCCGGGATGTTGGGATAGGTTGGTTTTATCCCCCAAGTGTAATTTTTTAAACTATTTTAATAAATCTCCAGTGGTACCGTCCACGTTCGTCACAATTTTAGGAAAAAATTAGGTTTATTCGTATGTTTAACTACATAGTTAAAATATAATTTTTAAAGGTAAGATTTAATTAAATAAATATTTATGATTTATTGTTGTTTAGTATAAATCAATTAGTTCATATTAATTTGAATATTATATGTAAGTATATATGCATTATATAATTTATATTTTATTTAACACCTATTGAATTTAATAATTAATATGTAGGTCATAATGACTCGAGGTAGGGGTCGTGGTTCGGATACGATCGGTCCGACGGTGATCATGGACGTCGTAGACACCCTTCTTATTTCGCTCACGGTTAGATGGATCCCCCACCGGACATGCCTCCGTACCACTCTTCCGATGCCCCCTCCACATCCCGTTCCATGCCCGTCATGTCTCGGCCTCGACCTTTTGAACCTCCACATCAACCTCTCTCATCTTTTCCGTTGTCATCGTCGGTGCCTTCGTCATCACATCGGGATAACCATTCTATTCCTCAACACGTTCCACCCCACAATGTCCCGTGTCAATCGGCTTCGGAACCAATAACATCTGCGGTTGACCATCGAGTATGGGTCATTGTCGTTGGACGCAATGAGTACGGTTTATGCTTAATTTAATTAAAAAAATTTTATTTACCGTTATTATATACTCCGTTATTTATGAATTTAATTAATGTTTATTTTTTTTGTTGGTTGTATCCCTTTGATGTTTGCTCTCGCTCTATCGTTAAGACATTCCAAGAGTACTTTCATTCTTCGGGATGGATATGGAAAAAAATGAGTCCGGAGACAAAAAATTTTTACTTGGAAAGAATTTAAGGTTCTAATTTCTAAATTTTATTTGATCAATTATATTATTTAATATTTAATTAAATTGTACAAAATAATATGAAAGTAAATTTAGTAGTGTTTATTATTATTATTTTTTGGCGTAAATCATTTAAGTGGGATGATGATTTGAACGAGAGCATAGTTAAGAAAGCATGAAAAAGTCTCGCACGGAAGCGATATTCGACTTCCTTTATCGTCTAACGAAAAAACCAAAGCCGGCATATATCTCACGGGAAATATGGGATACATGGACTACGGAATAAACGAAACCCGAGGCCGTTGCTCGATCCGAGATGGCGACACGGAACCGTAGGAGCGAGACCCGATGGAGTCGGAGCCGGTCCTTCTAGACATACGGGGGATCAATCGACCATAGAGAGCACTCCATACGCATGGTAAAAAATATATATTATTTTATTTATTTATAATTTTTTAAAAAGTAACACCCAAAATAATTAATTAAACATCCGACTATATTTAATACATTTACGTTTATTATATATGTTTTCGGCGTAATGTGTTGGGTCGTGAACCCGATCCTCGTGAGGTTTTCTTGAGGACTCATCAAAGAAAGGTTAATGATCGGTTAGTCTTTGTCGATCAACGATCGAGGATTATCGGAGTAAGTGATAACTTTAAAATATTATTTAATATATGTTAGTTAATAATGTTATTTGACAACCGTATTTGATGTGACGTGTTTCATAATTATATAGGAGACCGTACAAAGATTAATTAATGAGGAAGAGATTGCTAGCCGACGATCGAAAGGGACTAAAGCGACCGCACCCGACATTAATGATATCTTTCAAAGGGCCGTTGGTGGAGGAGGTAGTAGGAGGAAGAGGATGTACGGACTCGGGTCACATGCATCTCACTACTATTCAATCGTCAATGCGGGCTCATCTTCTCGCTACTCCCGGATTCAATGCGGTCGACGAGACGAGTTGAAGGAATTACATGAGCAAACATCCGCAAACACGATGCACATCAATAACTTAGAGGGTACCGTGAACGACCTACAGAGCCAAGTGGCATCGTTGTTGGATACGACAATTGAGTTGAGAACCTATAGTCGACGAGCAGTATACGATGATGTCACGGATGCAGCAGATTTTCATGCGGCATTTTGAGCGCGAGTGGTAGTTCATCCGTTGTTCTTGAAACCGACAACGACTCCACCCGACCTCCGGACGACTCCACCTGACCTCCGACCGATCCCGGACATTAAGTTATTTTAGCTTTTTTGTTTTCTTGTATTAACCGCAATCGATGTACTCGTTTTTTGTTATTTAACAATAATTTAATTGTTTAGCGACATTTAATACATTTCGAATAATAAAAATTTACGTTTACGATATTTTACGAGATTTTTGTTACTTTAAAATTGTTACTTTTACCTCATTTTATTATTGCTGCAAATAAATTTATTTTTTCAATTCACGACGGTCTTAGAAACGGTCTAGATCGTCGCTAAAAATAAAATATTACCAACGGTCCGCACCGTTGCCAAATTGATCGTTGCCAACAATTTAGCGACGGTCTATTTAGCAATGGGCATGCCAAGGGTTTACAAGACCATCGCTAATGTCATAACTCGTTTACATCGACATTTAGCGACGGAATAGCAACGTTTTGGACCGTCTTTTAGCGACGGTTTGGACCGTCGTTAATTACTCGCTAAAACGTTTTAGCAACAGTTTTTTTTATTTAGCGACGGGTCTGCCCATCGCTAAATGACATTTATCTTGTAGTGAACAAACCCACGAAATCATTGTAGACTTATCAAAACTTACTATTGTACATGATGAAGCTTACAAGGGACTTGGCTACCCTTTACTTACAGCTGACCAGCAAAGCGCTGCAATGCAGTTGCCACTCAGATACGATCCCTTTATCGAATCAGCTAAAAAGAGAGACATTGACGTTTCATATGTTGTTTGTTCTACCTTTACAGTGGGGTGGTTTGGAGGAGAGGAGAGTCCTAAAAGTGTGGTAAAGCTTCAATGTTTTTATAGTAAGGACACCGTTAATTTGTACCTTAGACCAATAGAAGGTATAAAAATGGTTGTTGATCTTGATAAAATGAAGATTGTTGAATACAGTGACACCCTCAAGATTGCAATACCAAAAGCTGAGGGAACTGACTATAGATTTTCCCACCAGAAACCACCTTTTGGTCCCAGAATAAATGGCGCAGCCATCATGCAATCCAATGGACCAGGCTTCCAGATCGATGGCCATACTATCAGGTTTTTTCCTTTTATTTATACATTCTTTTTTCTCTCTTCTTCTGTTATTATCATTTCACTCATCTTCATATTTGCTCTCGTAATAAATTCAGGCCATGATATATGACGTAAAATATGAAGATTATGCTCAGTTAATTTTAAATTTTGTACTTATCTAAGCAATTAGGGTTATAAAGCATATTTAAAAAATGAAGAGATTTCATATTTCTTGAAAATTAATTTATGGGTGAACGAGTACCGTGAAGTAATCACATTGAAGGAAACTGTTTGCTTTTGCATCTTCTTTTTTTAGAAGAATATTTTTCTTCTCTTTAATTCCAAGGAAATGGTCATGTCCTCTTTTTTAATTGATCTGAGATATTTCCATTTGCATAGGAGATCCTTGATTTCAATAACGGAAAAGATGGGTAAAAAAATCAAAATGTTATCCAAGTCAAAAGCACAAAATCAAATAATTTTAACAAAAGTTTGTTTTGAACTAATAATCCTAATAAAAGTTTGTTTTGAATTAGGTAAAAGGTATAATAAAACTAAAAGAAACAACTAATAAATAATCTTTATTTTTAGTTCACGTGATAACAAAATCAATATTTATTAATTATTTCAAAATAATAGTACTACATATCAAGATCTGTAAAAAAAGAAAGAAAAACAAAATCTATTAATATTATCATATATTTTTAACTAGTTAGTTCACAAAAATTTATCACTACATATCACTTTACTAATATTAATAATATTACATAAATAAATAAGTACTAACATCGCATTTTCTTAAAAAAAAATATTTAAATCTAAATTTTGACAAGTCCTTAATAATAAAAGTTTTTTTTATGGCAAATTCTAGTATCCAATTACTTGTTTCTACATGCCCTCTCAATGAGTGAAATGCCAAAAAAAAAAAAAAAATGCAATTTAAATATTTAAGTTTTATAAAAGAATTCATGCAATGAGTGAAATGCCAAAAAATAAATAAAATAAAATTTAAATATTTAAGTTTTATAAAAGAATTCATGCAAAACACTCTGCTATCTATCTTTACCATCTCAATTAATTTGAGCTATACTTTTATGTATGACATTAAAATACTAAAATTGGCTCCAATTCATAACAAGTTAGTTTTACATGCTATAATTCTTACCATCAACTGTGAAATAAATAGAATAATCACTTTTGAATATATTCATTGTTCAATTCTACAACAATTCCTATTATAAAAATAAATATACACGGTAAAAAATACAAATAATAATTTTAATGATTAGTTAATGCATAAGTAAATAAATTACCATGGCTTTTTTACAAAGTTTAATTAAAAATAACAATAAACTTATTTGTAATTTTTTAAAAATACAATCACCATTATGGAAGAATATGTATTATTTATATTTTATGATAAATAAACTCTAAATTTCAATGTAATCTCATATTTATATGTTTTTTTCATATTTAAAATTTTAATATTTTAAAATATTTTATTTTTTAAAAATATATTAATTTTAATTTTGAATTAGATTATTATCGAAACAGATCAAAATATATCCAAATTTGAATTATTTAATAAATGAGTTAACAAATTCGGATCATAATTGAGCTCGGATAAAAAAATTTATTTATCATAACTATTTAATTACATCGGATTCGGATTATAATTCAATCCATTTACAACCCTAATCACTAACAAAATACAAACAAATAATGACACTCCACAATAAAATAATAAAAATATCGGTTACTTTGATTCTTATGTAGGAACCTACAATAATAAAGAATGTTGTTCTTAATATTGTACTTTTCCAGGACTTTTAATCCGTTGCCTTTTCCTTGTCTTGCCTTTACAACCACCCTGTAAGAATAAATGAATTCTTCCAAACATTTTTTTTTTTGTATGCATATGCTATCAAAAAATTGAATCATAAAATTATATTGAATCTAATTTCTCATTGTGGCTAAAAACAGTATGCTATCTGTTACTAATAAATAGTAATATAATATAAGTAAGAATTGTGATTTTGAGAATGGATAATTTTTCAGTATCCTGTTTATTCATAATAAATATATATTTTTTTATGATGGTAAAAAAACATCAATCCTAAGAACTTTTCATTTTGAACAGATAAGGCACGTTATTATATTAATTTGAATTATTCAATCAATCATCAAATTATCTACTACATAATTATGCCAATTAATTCTTAATAAAAAATAATGTCAATTGATTACATGTTGCAATCTGAATTTGTAATTGATAAAACACAAAAATGTTACACAAGCGTTAATATTTTTATGTTACTGAACATTTTGTTATGTATTTTTTTTATTAAATATTATATGTTGTAATAGTATATTTCATCAAGACAACTTTCACGCATGAGACTAAAAATTGATCAAGTTTCAACAAGTCATCCACTACAAAAAAATAATGAAATAGCTACGAAAATTTTCGTAGTTATGCACAAATGTTTTGTCATTATATTGGTTCGGAGACGGAATAGTAACTAAAATAAACCGTCCATGAAATATTTGTAGCTAAATTTTTTAGAGATGGATAAGAAAATCCATCGTCAATCAGCAATGACTTGGTTGTCGTTATTTCAATGCATTTTCATTGCTATTTTATTGTAAAGAGTCGTATAATTAGTATAAAATTCGATGTCAAACTGTCGAGGAGTAGTTTTATTTTTATCGCTATATAGAGATGGTAATTCAATGCAAAAATGCTATCGCTAATGTCCGTCGTTGATATCCGTCACTAATTTTCATCACAATTCATACAACAACTAATTATTTATCTATATCAAGCAAATTTGATCAAAAATTAATTTATCAATTTTTAAATCCTAAGTTCAAATAATCAAATATTATATCAATTTTAAAATTAATGAGTTTTTTTAAATCCAATAACTTAATTATCAAATGACTCCATCTTTATTTTTAATCATTGTATAACAAATTACAAACTCAAAATTTTATCCTCATTAATTCAAAACAATTCGATAAATTAAAAATATATTCAATTAAATTTCAACTAACATAAATTCGAGTTTTTTAATATATTTACTAACAATTAATTACAAATATACAAATGGATAAAATTTAAAATACTCCAAAAATAGCAAAATCAAGAATAATACACAAAACCCACACAAATTAAATATAAAATATGAATCGGGAGAAAGACAAAAACCTATTTGAAACGATTGCAAGCTTCTCTTTCAGAGAGAGAGAGAGAGAGAGAGAGAGAGGAAACCATAATTGTTTTGAGAGAGGAGGCAGTTGGATGGCTGGAGATTGTTGGAGAGTGGAGGAGTAGGATTTGTGAGGTGTTTTGGAGGGTATTACTATTATTGGTAAAGTTAATGATGAACATGATCTATCATTTTTTTGCAACAAACTAAAAGAATTAACGATGGAATATTTTCTCACTAACAAGACTGAAAAAAAAAAGAAGTAGTGATGGATTGAATGATTCGTTGTCGAGTGTCCTCGCAATTTCATTGCTAATTCATCACTAAACACAAACATAAATATTTTACCTTCTTATTTAATGACTGGAATCTATTGAAAATCATTCGATATTCTATCTCTAACATCCAAATCTCAATGACAGCCACAATTCGTTCCCTAATCCATTGCTATTTAGCAACAAAATGATATTTGTCACTAAATTACAAATTTTTTGTAGTGAACATACACTCATCAATTAGACAAAACATTCGGTAATTAATTAAATTTTTTATGTGATATAAGTTTAGAAAGTATAAGTAAGGATGATAATGGATGGATGCTCGATCTATTAATTTAATTTTTTATCTCATCCATTAAAAGAATATCCTACCCATTTTCTATAAAAAAAATCATCATATGAATCTTTATTCGTTCATACCCAACCTATATTATTTTACCTGCTCATTTAGTACCCATTTAATACTCATTAAAAATAAGTTATCAAAAATATTTCATTTTAGTCTCTCTAATTTTCAAGAAATTTTTTTTTGGTTCTTAAATTTTTTTATTTATTTACATTTGGTCATTTACGTATAATTTTTTTTTGTCCTCGGCTTTTGAAAAAAAATTTTGATTATTGATTTTTAGTGTTTATACAATTAGATCTTTATATGTTTAAAAAAAATAAAATGAATTAATGAGTATTCATATGATATAGAGTGGGGACTCTTATTCTGAAATTATACTAGAGGATATGCATTTTTTATATATATATTTATCCACTTTAATACTAATTGGATATTTTTAATAAATATTTATTGAGCTGGATAAATCAAATACTTACTTTATACCTGATCCATTACCATCCTTAAGTAAAAGGTACTTTTGTTATATTATCTCTCATTAACTCACATTAAAGTGAGACATATTAATAGCTCATCATAACGGATTCACTTTTATATGAACGAAGTAACAATACATTTGAGATACCTGGTAATTTTTTGTTTTGAAGATTCACATAAAGATAATTTCATAATATTATAACCTAAAAGGAATTTTTAAATAACTAATTAACCGATATTTAAATTTTCAATATGGTTATAGATTTTTTTTCAAACAAAGATAATATTATATCACACTCTAATAAAAAGGCAATTAAGTTATAAAACATCTTTTGTTATTCTTGCAAAGCACAAGAGACAGGTCTCAAGTTTAAGATCTACTAATCTACCAATTGATAGGATAATTAAATAATTACATAAGTATAGCTGAGCAGCTATGTAGGTTCCATTGATTAGGCAACGGGGTGATTTACTAATTTTCATGAGTTAATTGTTTTTATTTTGATATTTATACATAATGAGATATTTTCTCTACTTGGAAATTGATGGTATAAAATCACGCTAGTTCAAAAAATTAGAAATTATAAACTATCCAAGAGTAAGACTTAAACTGCTCATTATCGTGTATATCCTAAGGATTTAACCACTTGTACTAACTTTTACGATTAATCAATTTTTTGTCATCGATAAATTAAGAATGTAATTAATTAATTAAATACACATACTATCAAATTTATTAATATTATTACATAATCTATTATATTTTGTCACACAATTTATAAAATTTTCTATGCAATGTATTACAAATTTTTTAGTGCAATATCTAATCATTAGTTCAATGACATGATGTATTGACTTCTATCACAAAATATTATGTTCTATCATGACTACATTTTTTTTAGTGATTTTTTTGGTGATATTATTTTTGCGTTGTAATTCATTTATTTCAATATAATTTATTCATTTTGTTATGTAATTCGAGATTTTACTCTACTAACTTTATTAGACAATCTATCCTTCTTCTTTTTTTTTTCCTTCATATTTCTAATATGTAATTTATTAGTTTCATTGAATAATTTCTCCAACTATTTATGTATATTATATGATGCATTGTTATTTGTCCAACATTTGTTGATTGTGTTACATAATTTCTTTGTTCATTACGTAATCTCCACTGGTTTTATTGTATAATTAATTCTATAGTTTTGTGAAATTTCTTACATTAGTTATGTAGTTGTTAGTTATGGTTATTATAACCACGAGTATAATTGTAAAAGAAAAAAAAATTCTTAATATGCTATTAAAATACTTCTATATTAAATAATACTTGATTGTTATAACTAAGTTTTATTTGTTTCTTTTTTTTCTTCTCATTTCTATTTTTTAAACATACATAGTCAATCTTTTTTAAAAAATCTATAAACCACGTAAATTGGACAAAATAGTTCATTTTAATTGATTTGGATCTTATATAATGATATTTACTTTATTATTTAACATTTTTATTTAGTCAAAAGTATTATTTAAATGATGTAATCCATTTTCCCCATAATTACTTGAAGCATTCGAAACTGTTACGAAAAAAAGTACATATTATATAATATTTTTAAAATTTCTCCACTAATTGCATAATGTAGACGTAATTAGCTGAATTTGAGGCAGTTGTCGGGTTTAGTAAATTGAATGTTGCCCTGCTATATTGTAATAGTGTAAGCAAAACATGGAGTTGGCCACCGCATTTCCGGATCGGATATTTAATTATTGGATAATATTAGAAATAGTTATTTTTTTAATTAAAACTCTTTATTAAGTGATGTAACATTACGTAATTGGTGTTTTATTAATTACTCAAAATTTTAATTATAATTATCCCATTAAATTATTTGAAACTATTTTTTTATAATAGATGTCATATCACCTAATAAGAAAAATTTCGTAACCTGAACCTTCTCCTTAATTATTTATCAATATTCATTTGATTTTATTTTTGGAAAGCCCGCAAAACAACTAACTTCAAATTTGATCCCAATCAGATGGGTCAATTGGGTCTTTCACCTATCATTTGATGTCCGAGTTGGACCAATTATATCTCTAGCATCAATTTACGATCAAGAAAAGCAGACCTATCGCAGTGTGGTGTACAGAGGACACATATCCGAAATCTTTGTCCCATACATGGATCCAACCGAGGGATATTACTTCAAAACATTTTTTGATTGTGGAGAATTCGGGTTTGGTCAAAATGCTGCATCATTAGTGCCCCTGGCCGATTGTCCAAATAATGCAGTACTCATGGATGCGTAGCATGCAACACATGACGGCTCAACAGTGAAAATATCAAATGCTTTTTGCATATTTGAAAGGCACGCTGGAGATGTCATGTGGCGACATTCCGAGTTGGGGTTTCCAGACCATGCGGTAAGCATTTTTGTGGGATCAGGGTTAACGTTATGTTTTAGGGCCATTGATTTTGATTTCATTCAGCTAAAAGCATGTGATTGAAAAATTTATATGTTCTTTTCAGATCACTGAGGCTAGGCCTGAGGTGAGCCTAGTAGTGAGGATGGTTGCCACCGTCGGTAACTATGATCATATAGTAGACTGGGAATTAAAGCCAAGTGGTTCTATCAAAGCTCAGGTACGGTATAAACGATGGTGTGGCTTTATAATTAGAACCCTTGATGATCATGTCCTTAAATAAATTTGTAACACCATTCGCTGTCTCGACTCTCAACAGGTTGGTTTAAGTGGAATTCTTGAAGTGAAGTCAACAACATTCGCTCATGCAGATCAGATAAATGAAGAAGTTTACGGCACATTGTTAGCAGACAATACAATCGGCTTAAACCATGATCATTTCTTGATTTACCGCCTCGATCTTGACATTGATGGCGTTGCCAATTCTTTTGTTAAGCAAAATTTGGTAACCAAAAATGTGACGGGTAATGTCTCACCAAGGAAGAGTTATTGGACTGCTGTTAGAGAAACAGCTAAGACTGAATCGGACGCGAAAATTCACCTAGGCACGAATCCATCTGACCTGATAATTGTGAATCCAAATAAGAAAACTAAACCTGGAAACCATCATGGCTACCGTTGGATACCAGGGACACAAACACACTCTCTTCTGTCAGATGATGACTACCCACAAATCCGTGGAGCCTTCTCTAAGTATAATGTGTGGGTCACCCCATATAACAAGTCTGAAAAATGGGCAGGAGGAAAATATGTTGATCAAAGCAAAGGACAGGACACTTTAGCTGTCTGGACCCTCAGGTACTCCATTTCTAATCTATAACAGTAGAGATTATGTCATTAACTAACTTATTTCAATCTCAAAATTTATTCCAATTTTCGGTTTGGATGTGCAGGGATAGAAACATTGAAAAAAGGACATAGTTTTATGGCATGTCATAGGGTATCACCATTCCCCTTCCCAAGATTATCCTCTGATGCCAACATTGAGTGCAGGATTTGAGCTCCGACCAACTAATTTCTTTGAAAGCAATCCTGTGCTCAAGGTGTTGCCTCATAAGCCTGTCCGCGCTTAATTGCACCGCCAAACCGCAATGTCTATGTTCTTTCATGTTTTTAGAAATGCCAAATAAATTTGTCGCTACTTTGAAGCCAGTTCCAGTTGTATGTTGTTGTATTTGTGGTGCGGAGCTTTGCTGTGAGCAGTTCCCCATCAAAAACAAGAAATAGCTCGCAAGAGTCTGCTTGATGAGCTAGTATGTGCCATATATATTTAATGTTATGTTAGAAATCATGTGGTTTCAAGCAAAATAAATCATCTGCCTAACGAACTTTGTTTTTTCTTTGAGAAGAAGGGCTAACACGTAGTTCGTTTTTTAACTGCTTAAAGAGAGTTTTTGACCGGCCAACCAAATGACCAATAGCTTCATTGGCTATTAATAATTCCTTTTTTTCCTTCTATTTCCTGTATGGTTGCAGAAGTCCTCGTGCATACTGTTGTAGGAATTGACTCCTCAAACTACAGGATTGAACTCAGTACTAAACAGAAAAAAAAGTATCAGCCTGCAGAACAAGAACAATATGCCTTTGGTTGGTGATCGGTTGATTACAGTTGTTAATAAACGAAGTTGATAACAAGCCAGTGGCCACAAGCGCTGATGCCTTGTGTGTTGGAGCGTGAAGAAGGTTTTAATAATTTGTAGCCTTTCTTTATATAATGCTCCACCAAATTCACTCGACAGTTCTGCCACAGTCCACCACTATATCCCCATCAACCCCATCAGCAGCTTTGACAATTCACCGCCCCTTCATCCATATAATCCAGCACTACAAATCGAAATGTCTGAAACTCTTATTTGAATATTGCCTTCGCCAATGCCATTCATAATTTCAATGTCCAGCTCACCTGGTTGATCCCTTATGAAAAAAAGAAACTCAAATTGAATTATTGAAAGCTAGTGCCATGAACCTTTCCACCCCACCTTCCTTTGCTATCCAAAATCGATAAAATTGTCTATTATTATTATTATTATGATGATGATTGTTTATAGAATATACCATTGCAATTTAATTCTATTTGAGCAGTACTTACAATTAGGCTCTAAAAATACAAAAATTCAACATTCATAACAGTTGAAGATTCAAACCCAAAACCCTCTCCTCATCTCTCTTGCTTTTTCATCACCCCAATATTTAATAAAGTTCTAAGATGAAATTAAGAAAAAGCACGACCAAATCAGTCCCGCACCACCATCATAGTGAAAAACAACCACCACCACCATCAATACAAGAATGCAGTCAAGTGTCTTCCTCAAGCCATGACTAGTGCACTTATTATATGCCGAAAATCCTTGGATCTGCAGATTTGAGTTTTCATCAAAGAGAAGATGAAACTGATGAGCAATTGTTTTTGGATTTAATTCAAGCATGAAATTAGGTAGTAGAAATATGGGAGACTAGAAAAAACGATGAATTGAATGGGTTGGGGGAAGATGATGGGGTAACCTAGGATTGATTTTCAAAGGGTGAAAGAAGATGGTGATATGAGTGGGAAAGAAATGGCTTTTGACTGGAGATGGTTTTGCAGTTTGTAATTAAAGGTTATAATGTTGGAGTCGGAGGCAAAATTTGATAAAGAAGTCAGTTAATAAATGGACGACATGTAGTACAAGAGAGAAGGGAAGACACTTTATAGTTTGTTAAAGATGACACAACTGGTCGTTATGAGTTAGAAATGTCTCTAACGGCTAGTGTACTAAAGAGGAAAGAGAGGGCAATTTGGAATCGTCTTCTAGATTTGCTAACAATTGTATTCTTCTCTCTGCATTCTTCCTCTGTAATCTTCTCTCTGGTTTCATCTCTAAAACTTTCCTTGAGTTTTCATATTGCTCTGTTTTTCTTTCAAGTTGTACGGTACGTTTCTTTTGATTTATTCAATTTTTCATAAAAGATTTTCAAGATTAAATACATTGTAGAATCTCTATTTCTTTCTAGTTCTTCAATTACAAAATAGAAATTTGCATCAATTGGTAACTTGAAGTTAACAACAATGGTGAAAGGACATGAAGATTTTAAGAGAATGGAGGAAACCATTGCACATCTGTCAAAAGTAATCATTGATCTGTCTCATAAATATAATAATGGATTTGAAAGGCATGACAATGATAGTGCTGAGTTGAAGGAAGTGATGAAAGGACTTAAGAGTCCAAGGGCTGAAGAAAGGAATAATAACCACAACAATGATATTAATGATGAAGGAGTTAGAAATATGGATAGAAAAGGTTTTAAGAGGCTAGAGGATGGGTATCCTATTGAAAATAGTTATGAAAAAGGTAATTTTGAGTATCGGTACAACATTACGATGTCTAGAATGGAATTTTCTAAATTTAATGAAGAAGATTTTGAAAGTTAGGTTTTTAGATGTGAGAAATTTTTCTCTACGAATAAAACACTTGAAGAGTCTAATGTGAATTTAGTAGCTATCCATCTAGAAGGAAAAGGCTCTTGAATAACATCAAGTCTATGTAAGAATGCACGAGCTAATATGATTCCGAATTGGATTGATTACATAGATGTTATAAGTATTCGATTTGGAGTTATGGAATTTAATGATCCTATGGCGGAATTGATGTCATTAAGACGGACGGAGGATGTACAATCTCTTCTCAGAAGTTCATTTCAATAGTCAATAAGCTAATTTTATTTGAAGATTATATTGTTAGCTATTTTATAGGTAGTCTTAAAGCTGAATTATAGGTGTCGGTAAGGATCATGAGGCCTAAGACCTTAAAATAAGCAATAGCTTTAGCCAAATTACAAGAAACCAATCCAAATATTCGATATTATTCCAATAAAGCCAACTTTAAAACGTTTTTTTTTAATTCCAAAGACCAAACCCCAATTTGCCTCAAACACCCAAAGATCTAACATTACCATTTTTAACAAAAGACCAAACTTTACAAATCAACAAATTCCAAATGAATCTCCATCAAAATGTAAACCCTAATTCAAAAGGATTATTGACTCTACCAACTCGGTTTCAAAGTGGCAATTCGTGTTTAAGACTAAGAAGATGCCTGGAAATAAAAAACTAGAGGGGGTAGTGTTATTACTATTATGACAAATACTATCCTAGGCATAAATGTAAAGGAAGACGGATGTTTATGCTAGAAGTTGCGTAAGGTGGAATAGGGGAATGGAAAGAGAAATAAATGAGGATAGACTTAATGGGGAATATAATGAGAATATTGAAAATTTGGCTAATAAATTGTACCATATTTCTACTTATGTAGCTTTTGGAGGGGAACGAGTATCGGACTATGAAACTTATAAGAGAGTTTAGAAAGAAAAGAATAAAAATTTTGATTGAAACAAAAAGTACTCATAACTTTATAGACTTAACATTTTCGGGACGAGTGTGGTCGTGAATTAGTCAAAATTGCACATGTTACTTGTAAAAGTGGCTAATGGTAGTGAAACTTGCTATGAGTACATTTGTAAGAATTTTACTTAAGTGATACAAGGTAAAGTCTTTATGACTAATATTTTTCATGCAATTAGGGATGTATGAGTTGATTTTAGGTATTACATGGTTATATGCATTGAGAGACGTTACTTGGAACTTCAAAAACATGTGGATGAAGTTCCTTAAGGAAAAAAAGATGTTTAAATTATATGATACTTGTGTGAGGGTGGTTAAGAATGAAGAAGAGAATGAGGTGCATAAAATTTTAGGCAAGCGGGAACCCTTAAACTGGTTACAACTAAATTAAATACTAGATTAGAAAGACATAAAAGTAATGCTTTATGGCACACAATTGGACCACAACATTCCTCTAGATATAAAGTTGATTTTAAAGAAATTTATGGATGTTTTTGAGGAACCAAAGGGCTTACCTCCCTATAGAGCCCATGACCATCAAATTGGTCTTAAATAAGTGTTAGAACCTATTCGGATGAAGCCATATAGGTGCTCCTTTACTCAAAAAGATGAGATTGAGAGACAAACAGAGGAGATGTTAAGTAATGGGATCATACAATCAAGCACAAGCCTTTTTTCTTCTCCAATAATGCTAGTTTAGAAAAAAGACAATACTTAAAGAGTGTCTATGGATTATAAAAGGCTCAACCAAATTACTATCAAGGATCAATTTCTTATTCCTATTATTGAAGAACTTTTAAAGGAAATGTATGGTTCTATTGTTTTTTCAAAACCCGACTTACGTGTTAGGTATCATCAAATACCAATAAATGTTCAACACATTTCAAAAACTACTTTTCGAACACACAATGGTCATTATGAAAATTTGGTAATGTCATTTGGTTTGAAAATTGCCCCAAACACTTTTCAATCTTTAATGAACGATATTTTTTTACCTTTTCTTCAAAAGTTCATTTTAGTTTTTTTTATTTTTTATGACATACTTATTTTCGGTAGAAGTTTATCGAACATTTACAATATTTAAAAGTTATTTGGAATGTATTGAGACGAGCATACATTTTTTGTAAATAAATTTAAATTTACCTTTGGTACTCCAAAGATAAAGTATCTAAGACATTATATTTCTATAAAAGGGATTCAAACATATCCTAAAAAGATTACGAGTTGTTCATGTAATAACCCATTCTAAAATGATATTTAAGTAAGTGTGTGTGTGTGTGTGTTCGGCAACTTAAAAGAAAGAAATAGGACAACTCATTGTCTTTCACTTCTTTCTTCTTCCCCTTACCCTCTCACTCAAACTTTCCCCCAACTTCCTTCCATTTCCCTCCTCCGAATTCTAAGTTAATTCTTTGTTAAATTAACTTAGAAAAAAATAAAAACAAGTTTATTAAAGTGAAGTTTAGTTGGATTGAAGCTTGGATAACTTAGAGAGTTAGGTTTGAAATTGGAGTTGAAAAGCCAATTGCCAAAAGTAAGATTTTTATCATTGGGTTTCAAATTGAGATATTTATATATGTTATTGATGATATTAAATTTTAATTGTATTGGTTTGTTATTGGAATGAAGAATTTGACTAGATTAGTGTTAGGGTTTTTGAGACTCATTTAGGAAAAAATTGATTAAATGATGTTAAGTGATTAAATGATGTTTAATTGCTTTAGGCTAGTGATTTATGAAGTTGAATTGAGTATATTTGATTAATGGAGAGGTTGAAAATCATGAATAATGAAAATTTTGAAATTTGGTTTTGGATTGAAAAGAAATCGAAAAAATGAAGATTTAAGTTATATAAATGCAATTAAAGATGAATGAAATGAGTAGTAAGTAAATTAGAATTGAATTGATTCTTTAAAGTTTGAATTGAATGCGGGAATTTGATGGTTAAGAAGGTGTTTATCTTAAGTGATGTTTGAAATGATGTTTATTGGTTATCTTGGAGTTGTCTTACATTAGGTTTGCCATTAATTGAAAATTAAGGTAGGTTAAGGAAGAATGATGAGTTATGTTGGTAAGTTAAGTGAATAAATTGAATTAGGAAGTGATGATAGATAATTGGATTGTTGAAGAGATTCTAAAGTGAACTTAGAATTAGTTAGGCAATTGTTTAGAATCGACCGAGAGAGTAAGATTTAGTTAAAAGTTATCAATTGCTTTTGAATTAGAATGATGTTTTCCAAACTTTGACCTTAAGGACAAGGCTTCTTAAGGGCTCGCGTGCGCGGGCGCGGGGAGTATTGATACAAGCAAAAAAGAAATGGCTTTTGATTGGAGATTGTTTTGTAGTTTATAATTGAACATTATAACGCAAGAGGCAATATTTGATAAAAAGTCGGTTAATAAATGGAGGACATATAGGACAAGAGAGAAGGAAATAGAAACACGTTTGTAGTTTATTAAAAAGGATGTGGCTGGCCATTATGAGTTTGTTATATTACCATTAGGAGTGTCTTTAACGACTAGTGTATTAAAGAGAAAAGAGAGAGCAATTTGGAATTGTTTTCTAGATTTGCTAACAATTGTATTATTCTGGTTGCATTCTTCCTCTCTAATCTTGTCTCTAGTTTCATCTCCGAAACTTATCCTTGAGTTTTCATATTGCTCCGTTTTACTCTGTTTTTTCTTTCAAATTTTACGATGCTTTTCTTTTTATTGATTCGAGTTCTTAATAAAAGATTTTCAAGATTCAATCCATTATAGAATCTTTATTTCTTTCTATTTCTTCAATTATAGAATAGGAATTTGCATCATATGGGATGATCAAAATAAATAATAAGTTCTATGGTTGAAATTGAGATTTAAGTTTAACTCAAAGTACGTTTTCAATTGTAAGTCGTCTATAAATTTTTAAAATCGTTCAAGTTTTTGGGCAAACAACTAATTGTTATTTTCAATCTCCATAGCAATCCTACTATAACGAAAACATAAAAATAAAATATTTTTTTAACTTTTATTCCGTTTTTTGATTTCATATTAAAAAAAAAATTAGGTTACGAGAAGTCCATTTGCAACAACCGCCTAGAATACACTCGATATAAACTTTTTTTTCACTCTTTTTTTTAATACTATCTTCTTCTTTTTTAATGTAGTCAAAACTATTATTCATTGACATTATGTTGTCAATCAATCACCCTCCGTAGGTGATAAATTGGATACTACTAGAGACAGATTACGATATCATTCCGATGATGAGAAATCCAACGAACACACTTAGCTTATTCATCGTTAACTTAATTAAGCCCTTTTGTGTGCTAGGAACTTCAATTTGAGACGATTCCATATCGTGATTTAATGATTAAAATTATGAAATGGATTTGGGCATGAAATTTAATATCATGTTTTTTTAATATAATCTCAATGGCATTAGTTGCCTATTGTTTAGTTTTTGATTCTTGTGAATTAATTGATGTTTGATGATTTTTTTAATTAAGCATAAAGCAAGTACTTGAAATAATTTATCTTGTTGACATATTATTTGGTAGTATTGATCTTGAAAAACTATCACTACCCCGTTACTAATGAGATAATTTGTATGTCGATCCGTAATGTTTTTGTAACTTACGGTTACTTATCAAATATTATTATTTAAGATCACTAATATTGATAATGTTGAAAATTAATATTTATGACATTGATCATGCTATTAATTTACTTGTGTGAATCTTATTATTGATACAAACTAAATAATTTGAAAAATGATTTATAAATTGACTTATATTATTCAATGATAATTGACATTAAAATTACTTGTTTTGTTTTGATGTCATGTGATCGAGATAAATGAGAAATCAACGAAAAAAAATCCAATATTTTTATATTGATATATTGATCATCTTGGATGCAAAGTCAAGGAAATCAAATTTATATGGCATTGGAGGCAATGAAAGCTCAATCAATAAAAAGTATTTTGAGTCTCCAACGATACTTACTATACAATAAATATAAAAAATCAAGTAAGTATTTTAAATATTGAATTATTAAAGTATTTTGACTTTTGTTCTATATATTTGATATTCATTTTTTTTATGATGAAAGTGTGTGATACTTATGATTACAAGTAATTTTAGATTTTTGTATGGATATTTGTTGATCCATGCATAAGTGTTTAATCCAAAAAACAAAATCGAGGGGGAAATCTGAATTATTATATAAAATCCTTTTATTGAATATTTTGTAAATTAAATAGTACTAACGAGGTTGGTTCATATGATTGATTTATTAATATTTGAAAGGTCATGTATTAATATAATTTAAATCAATTATGATAGAAAGCTAATTATTTTTAAGTGATTTCTATTGAAGTTGTCATTATAATTTATGTTTGACAACCATATCTAATTATAGAAATAATAATCTTGTTAGTAGATTATTAGTAAGATAAATTGGCAAGGTACATGAATTAATAAAGAGCTTATCATGTAATATTTTCAACATGAAAAATAAAATTTGATATGTTATCTTATTTTAAAGAAGTATATCTTATTGATCGGTAGGTCACAAGAAATAAATTATGAATGTTAATAACGAAATAATAAAATAATTCATGTCATCACTTTGTCTACGGTGATAGTACGAAAGTTATTTATTATGTGAATAGTCAGGGCATACATAAAAAATATTATTACATCAAATATTTGATGGAGAAAATAATATTTTGTATTTCAATGTATATTATCATAATTTTTCTTGTGATGTTTGAATTCTTTGCCACGTGATTTTTAATTTGATGCTATTGAAAATATTTATAAAAGCATTCCTATTATACAAAAAGTATAATGATGCTTATGAAATATTTAGTAAAAGCATTCCTATTGTACTAAAGGTATAATGATGCTTATGAAATATTTGGTAAAAGCATTCCTATTATACAAAGGTATAATGATGCTTATGGAATACACGGTAAAAATGTTGAGAGATTTGATTGAATTGATGACACTCCTATTGTACAATTATGGTACAATAGTATTTTAATGATATAAGTTGATAAGTCGGACTAGACACTCCTATTGCATAATTAAGAGATAATGGTGCTCGTAATGATAGTCTAATAAGATAATTAGTGATATTTTGTTAAATTTAAATTTCTAACTAAACATTGACATTCCTATTGAATATATGAGATACAATGATGTCAAATTTGTATTAGAAACTAAAGATTAAAAAATGTCCTTATTCACTTCAAGGTGATTATATTAAATATTTTCTATTGTATTAGAAAATACAATGATGTCATCATGTTTTAGCACAATGATGGGGATGCAAAAAATAAATATGATTATCATTGGCTGGTTTGTATGTGGTACAACTTAAATTGGCTAAAAAGTCAAAGCCAATGAAAAAGCAAGTGGATGCCAATGACAAAAATAAGTGGATGTTTTGCTTTGTCTAAAATAGTTAGGATAAAAAAATTCATACCACTTGTTTTAGCACTAATAAATTGATTAAGAGCTAGTTACCTAATCCTTTGAGTGTATATTGAATATCGTGGGAGTAAATCTTTAACTAAAGTCAAAGGATTAGATGATACATTAGGGGGATGAGACTAAGCCTATAAATGAATAAAAACACCTATGTGAATACTCTACCTAGGGACTGGAGATCCCAAAAACTAGAAAGCAACTCGATTGTGCCTCAAGCCGACCACCTAAAACTATGGTAAAATTGTTTTGATGATTTGATCATCTTTACATCATGAAATATGATAACATAATTTTAATCCTGAATTCTTTGATAATTAAGATAAAAAATTTCAATTATTTATTTATTTTAATTTATAATAAATTTATTTATTCATTGTGTTAATTTTTTTATTTAATTATGCTCTTTTTATATGCTAGGAACACCATAAACCATACTTATTGTAACAAAAAAGAGGCAGGAGGTGACGATGGTTTCGGTACTAGAACAAGAAGTGGACGATGATGTTTTTTTTTTTAAGATATTGTGTGATGACGTGGAACTTACATGATTTAGTACAGTACTAGTTTGAGAAATAAGTTTAAAATTATTTTATTTTAGTAATCAAGTTTTCTCTCACCACGTGTTGTTGGGGGCATTTAATTTGCAAGTTGGGAAGCGTTGTTCGATCGCCCTATAAACTTATCAAATTAATATGCAAATATTTTATTTAGAATTATCACCAAAATTCTCATAACAAACACTACTGAATCATGATGTATCCAAACAAAAGATGTGAACGTAGTATGCAGGCCGTCTCTATAATTAGTTTCTGCATTAGATGTTTCAGAAAGAATTAATACGTTGTTCATTCAAATGATTTTTTTACCAAGAGTACAACCATGCATGTTAATTAAAATTTTTAGCATGTTAATATTGAGGAATTGCTTAGCATAAGTTACTCCTGTTTGAGCCATGGGTTGCTTCCAAAAAAGTTTGCTGGTCGAAGCTCAAATCCACCATGAAGTGTTGGCATCACTGGAAAATCTTCTTGGCATGGAATGTGGTGGAATCCTACTACGTACCAAAGAACTATGTCTTTGTTTTCAATCACTCTATTCCTGCACATTAAATTACTCTCCTTGAATCATCATTCAATAACGTTTTCCACTGCTCCACAAAAATTGATTAACCAGTATAATAAATAATAAGAAAGAAAAGAAACCTATAATCGTTTAACGTGATTTTTCAAAAGCGATGCCCTCAACAAAGACAGAATTCCAATACAGGTTTTCTTGAATATTTAATTCAAAGAGCTTAAATTCAAAGTCTAGATGCCAAACAAAATTTTTAGAAAACACTATAAAGATAGTTACATTTATTCAGGGGCGGACCCAAGTAGAACACTACAGGGGCCCTGGCCCCCCTCCCCCTCCAACCTTTTTTTTTTTTTTCCTCATGAAACATCCCATGCCATGCCAACACTTTTTACATAAAATAATTAATTTAAGGACTTAAATAATATAAAAATATACTTATTTTTACAGAAAATATTCTCTATATACAAAAAAATTTGCTTAAGTTCATAGAATATGCTTACACATCCTTAACGATTTTTCTATACCCATTGGATAATTTTCAAACATATTTAAAATACTCAAAATAATTAATTTGCACAAAAAAATACTATTCATGCATAAAAAATATTCACTGAACATCAAAAAATTCACTCAATGGCACATAAAAATCTAACACCTCTCAAACAAATATTCTATACAAACAAAACATTTTTCATACACATTTAAAATACTCAAAACATTTATTTTGCATAAAAGTTATTATTTATGCATCAAAAAACATATAAAATATTCACTCAATATAGAAAAATCATCCTAGAGAGATGAGCATATCATTTAGGATTGATGTCATTTGTAAGTTGGTGTACAAATTTTATCCTCAAGACTTTATCGATCATGAAATGTTGCAATTAAGGATGCAATTTGAGCATTTTGATCATATACGTAATCTTTCTAATTTTAAAACATTGTCAATTATATCTGATTTTGTGTTAATGATTCGTGAAGATAAGAAAATTTAAAAGTTATCCACTTGTGTATAAAGTGATAACACTTATTCTTACTTGTTTGGTTTCTACTTGCTACCACAGAGTGATCATTTTCGGCTATGAGCATTGTTAAGATTAAATTTTATAACAAAATGAAAGATGGTTTTCTTTTCGATTCTTTATTAGTATATATTGAAAAAGAAATTGCTGAAAATTTTAGTATAGATTTGCTTATAAATGATTTTCGTGACTCGAAAGAACGAAAATTTCTATGTTAAGACTATTTTAAAATATATGTTGTATGTTATTTATAATATATATAAATTTGTATAAACCATTATAAATTTTTAAATATTTATTTTAATCCTTGTAGATATTTGGTTCGGGTTCGCCTCTGTATTTATTATTATTATTATCATTATTAAAACAAATATTGTAGCATTTTCGATAGGTGTATGCAATCAAGATCCTGTTAAATCTTTTTATATCCCCTTGGAGTTTTAATTATAAAATAATAACGAAGGCCTAATACTAATTCACCATTAAGTTTAACATTAATTTATCAGGGAAATTAGCTTAATTAGTATTTATATTTTAAATCGAATCTTCAATCTATCCTAACAAGTCTAACTGTTTTTAATTTATTTCAGAAATAAATAATTATTTTCAAATCTATCATCCTATCAAATATTCTTTTTAAAACTAAGAAAAACGATCTCATGTGAGAAACTTAAAATTAAGACCTATTATTTAGGGAAAAACATATAGATTATCATTTCTCATATGTGAATATTTTTATCATCATAAATGGAAATTATTTGTCAAAAAGAAAAATTGAAAAATAACATAAAATATGATAAATTTACACTAATTAGATTTATAGAAATAGTTAGAGACTTACCTAGACAAAAATCTTTCATATGATTTGTTTCAAAAACATTTTTAATTAGTTTATGAAGGAAAATATAAAAATGCATGTCCCAAAATTAATTACCTGCCGGTCCAAACAGCTAATCCCTCTTCTCCTCTGCTCCTATCAGCATAAAACCCACCAGGCCACCTCTCTGATTTATTATAGGCAGTCACCCACAGTTGATATTTTGTATAAGCGTTCCTAATTTGTGGATAATCATCATCAGACAGAAGAGAATTAACCGGTTGCCCAGTAATTAGCCGGTAGCCCACTTGATTTCCAACCCTTGTCTTCTTATTTGGATTCACGATCAAGAGGTCAGCTGGCTCCAAGCCGAGCCGAATCCGTGCCTCAGCTTCAGTTTTGGCTGTTTCTCTAACGACCGTCCAATAACTTTTTCTTGGTGAGTGGGCGTTAAATGCTTGTGCTCTTGCCGTTTGCTGTTTTGCTTTGACGAATGAATTGCCATCACCATCAACGTCAAGATCGAGGTAGTACGTGAGGAAGTGGTCATGGTTTACGGCAACGGCGTTCTCCGTCACTAAGGTACCGTAGACATTTTCCTTTATTTGGTCGTTATTTGTGTACGAGGTGGCCTTCATCTCTAATATTCCAGTCAGGTCCACCTACAAGAGCAAAAGAGACAAATCATGTATTTATAATCCACAAGTTAAATTTGTTTAATGGACAAGTTAAATTTGTTTAATGTTTAAACCACCTTCTCACAAAAAAAAAAAAGGTAATGTTTATACCATATGTAAAATTTTTGGGTTAATTAGTTAGCAACTCGATATTGTTTTTGTGAAAATAAGAGAGGCAAGAACTTGTGTTGGGTCTCTTCTATAGTGAACCAGCACTGACTGAAAGTTGAAAAAGCCAATAATGGAAACCAAAAATATATATAGAATCTTACTCCAACTTTGATGCTGCCGCTTTTCTTGAACTCCCAATCAAGAACATAATCATAATTTCCCACGGTAGCTACCATCCTAGCCACCAAACTGATTTCCGGCTCTCCACTTCTTATCTGCAAAAAAATAAACCAACGATAATTTACGGTAACAATCCAAGGAAATCCACCCAAGCAAGATACTGCGCTAGGGACTTACCACTTTTCCAGGAACATTAATTTCTGTATGTCTCCATGCTATATCACCACTGTATCTCTGGAAAATGCAGATCACATTAGGCATCTTCTGTGCCTGCCCATCAGCGCTAGTCACATATCCATCTAAATAAACGGCATTTGCAGGGCAGTCGACTTGCGGTTGGAGGGTGTCAGCAGATCGGCCGAACCCGAATTCACCTATGTCCATGAAAGTCCTGAAGTACCAATCGATGGTAGGATCCATATATGGAACAAATGTCTCAGATACGTGACCTTTATATAGCACACGACGAAATTTCTTTATTTCTGCATCAAATATTGAGGCTGTTGATATAGTAATCCCTGCCCGAGCATCAAATGCTATATGAAAATCCCAATTTGCCCATCTAACCCTGTGGCCATCAACAGTGAACCCGCTATCTGATACGTTGTATGTGATAGATTTAGGCTTTTCCTTTGAACGGAAATCCGTTCCTTCAGCTTTAGGGAGAGGGGCGGTGAATCTATCAGTGTACATAGTAATTTGCATAGAATCAATATCAACTAGCATACTTATTCCCTCAATAGGCCTTGCGAATACATTAACTGATCCCCCTCGGTAAAAGCATGCAATTCTAAGTGCTCGTTTTGTAACTTGTTCTCCATACCAACCAACGGTGAATGGTATGCAAGAAACTTCAGACAAATTTAAGCCCCTTTTCATAATCGACTCAACGAATCTGGGATACCTCAATGGCAATTTGCTAGCTTGAAAAAGTTCAGCAAAAGCGAGAGGAGGGTATCCATGACCGGAGTAGAGACGGTCCGAACTGATAGTGCTCGTGGCCAAGTCCACAATGAGCTCACGAGTCTCCCCTCTAACCCGAATAACCACCTTGGCTCGACGAGGAGGAATAGACTTACTTTGTTTAGACGAAGATAGCCACTTGAGTACATCTCCTTTTTCTGGTTCTTCTAGATCGACAAAATGAAAGGTTAGATTAGGAAGATTGCCAAGGTTAGACTTTTGAATAACGAGCCTTACTCGGTCAATTTCATTCGGATTGAGAGGGTCTAAGGGGTGATAAAGGCTAGCTACCAAGCAGCATTGTAGGGTAAAAATTAGAACTAGCAAATTCATGGTTATGGATGCCGCTTTAACAAAGAAAGCACCAGACAATTCACTGTTTAGCACCATACGGTAAGACATGGCCTAATTTATTTTATCACCCCTTCAGTGTAGGCTACATTTGGAAATTTCAGTAGCATTAAAAAAAGGATTGCCCCCATTTTACAATCTCTTAATCTTACTTTGTAAGCGGGGAACACAGAGACGGAGTGCCTTTACACAACAAGTCCTTTCCTTGCATTGAGAGCAAGAATAATTGACTTGCTTTGCTTTTGAAAATGGTGAAGAGCATGATGACTTGCATTTTCCCTTTGTTTCTTCTTTGTTACCCAGTCAAATGCTTGACGTTTCAACATTACAAGCCGGCTTAAAGAAGCAAAGTTTGGATTAAAATCAACCACCATGTAAATCCCATGTGCCAAATTAAAACGGGACCACCAGTCTCAAAACAGCAGCTCAGACTTTAAAGTATCTCAAAAGACTTCGAATTTGGAAGATTTGCTTAATTTGGCTGTTTAAGATTCTAGAATGCTACTTTGTCAGCAACCCACAACTACACATGGTGGAAAGCTGTAAAGCCGCATTCTGCTAGCTATTGTTTTCTCAATAACATATTAACATCAAACTGAAATGGAGGATCCCAAATCGTCAACAATTTTAACAATAATCGTTTTTTTAATCCAATTTTCTAAAATTTATGTCCAGACATTTAGTTGGCAGAACTTCCAAAGCTTAAATTGTTAAGCAAAATTTTGAAGGACTTCGAACTTTCAAACAACTGATATTTATAATCCTGCAAAGGGTCAACACAATTAAGCTCGATAACCAGCTAAAGGAGGGGTTATAAGTTTGAAATTTTGAATCCTCCTTCCAGAAACTATAAGAAAAGGATAAAAAAAAAAAAAAAGGCGACAAATATGATTTGCTTCCGACAGGACATGGTCCAATTAATTTGGTCGAAGAGTGAAGAAAGAAGGAAGAAAGGTCCTATTGATGTTTTTCATGGTTGGTTCTTCAAGTTAATCCGTTGAAATTGTACGCTTCTATGTTCTAGAGCAATTGGACCAATCGGCAGGTTGGGGTGTCATGACTTTGAGTACCGGATTGCTCTCGAAAAAATTAGCTGGCCGGAGCTCAAATCCATCGCTAAGTGTTGTCATGACCGGAAAATCTTCTTGGTATGGCAAGTGGTGAAATCCCAATGTGTACCACAATACAATGTCTTTATTTTCTATCCCTCTATTCCTGCATTAACAAGAAAAGTTGACCCAACAAAGTTTTAGTACGACTATTGCTACGTGTAGGTCAACAAATCAGTATTATTGGTATCTTGCCCAGTACCTGAGGCTCCATCTTGCCAGGGTATCATCTCCTCGGCTTTGATCAACAAAAAGTCCTCCGACCCATTTTTCAGACTTGTTATATGGGGTGACCCACAGATTATACTTGGTGAAAGCTGCCCGAATTTGTGAACCATCATCGTCTGATAAGAGAGGCCCCGCAACAGACCCTGGGATCAAACGGTAGCCAATGAAGTTCCCCATATTGGTTCTCTTGTTTGGATTAACCACTAATAAATCGGCCAGTTCCACACCAAGCTTAATCCTTGCATCAGACTCAGTTTTAGCCGTCTCACTCACTACCCTCCAGTAACTCTTCCTAGGCGACCTGTGATCAGTCACTGGGGTCATTTGCAAATTGGATCTGACAAAGGAGTTTGCATCACCATCCACATCAAGATCAAGATGGTAAGTAAAGAAGTGATCATGGTGAGCACCCAGGGTATTTTCTGCTAACAATGTACCATAGGCTTCCTCTTTTATTTGATCACTATGTGTGTACATTGATCCCCTCACTTCAAGCAAACCAGTCAGCCCAACCTGTAAGAAAATCATGAATCAAATATAGTGTCTTCGTTGACATAGGTAACTATCACCACAAAATCACAAGAATATGCAAATTTTCTCTTTAGTGTAGCCTTCTGTCAAATCAAACCTAACAATGCAATGCAATTGTGATGCTGGTTTCTCACAGTTTGTGATGTTCATACTAGAATGACCATGATTAAACATTAGATGAATAGGCTTCACCATTTCTGAGTTTATTACCGTGACTTTAATTGAGCCGCCTCGCTTAAACTCCCAATCGTTAATGTAATCGTAGTTGCCAACGGTAGAGACCATCCTTACAACCAGGGTCACCTCTGGCCTGACTTCTCTTATCTACATCATTCACCATTTAGTTGAACGATCAAACAACATTATGGCAAAAGCCCAACTGAATAAACCACCCAAAAAAAAATAATAATAATAATAATAATAAATCGCCAACCACTTTGCCTGGTATAGCAGTCTCCGTATGCCGCCACATTATGTCTCCAGCATACTTCTCAAATATGCAAATGGTATTAGGCATATTTACAGGCATCCCATTCTGGTCAGCAATATAAGCGTCCATGAAAACTGCATTTCCTGGACAGTCCCTATGTGGCTCAAGAGGCACTGCACATAGACCATACCCATATTCACCAGCATCAAAATATACTCTATAGTACCATTCTTCAGTTAGGTCCATATATGGCACGAAGACCTCTGAGAGTAACCCTTTGAACAGAACTTGACGGAACTTTTGCTTTTCAAGGTCAAATATGGATGCTAAGGATATGATTGGCCCTGCTCGAGCATCGAAACTCAAATGAAAGTCCCAATTCGCCCACCTGATACGTAGAATGGTACTATGAAAGCAAAAAGAAATTGTATAATTTTATAAGGAAAAGGATATAATTAACAACATGGGGTGGATGGAGGCAGTAATTCCATAACCTTAAACAAACCATTTCAAGTGTTGGTGTTTTTTTGCAAAAAGAAATCATACCTTTAAATTCTAACTGATTAATAATTTTTACGAGCCTTACGTGTAGACTTAGGAAAAAAAAAAAAAAAAACTATATCATTGGCCATTTGGAGCACCGATTCTTCAAAATCCCCAAAAATCTTTATTGGATTCATATAGGAATACGATACAAAATCCGATGTTCTTCAATAAATACATCGAATGCTTCTTAACATGCCCAAAATTAACAAAAAATAAAACGTAATGTGGGATGCTTGACCATATTTTCAAATACTTCAATTGACTTATCTTATACTTCACGGATATTTCATTGTACGATTTCTATTATTTTCTTAAAACTATAAAATACTTTGTACTAGTCAGTTTATATTTTAATTTTGGATATCAAATTTATGCAACGCAGTATATATGGATAATAATCGAAGAATATTGTTAACGAAAATGAAAAAAACGTGAATTATTTTGATATATTATTATTGATGTTATTAAAACTAATTTGTAGTTTTTCCATATTTTAAATAATTATATTATTCTAAATAATTATTTTGATGTACATCATTTAGGTTCTTAAAAAGAATTGAGAAAACTATAATTTTAGTATCTAATTTTTTATTTTATTTTTTTCCATTTCAGTAAATTCTTTTATTTAAATATCACAGTTTTTATTTTTTATTTTTTTAATGTCTATAGTCTCTTAAGAATATGGCATGTTGATGTGTCCGAAATGAACTGTCACATGGTATTTTTTAATTGTCACATGACAATTCATTTAAGATACAATAGCATTTTATACTTTTGAAAGATTGTGAATACTCAAAAAAAAAAAAAAAAAAAAAGAATTCAAACAAGCAAACAAAACTCTGAGTATTGAAATAAAAGAATTTACTAGTTGAACAATGAAATAGAAAAAAAAAGTCTAAGATTAAACACTAAAATTGCAATTTTTTCATAAAATTTATTGTCTCAAGATCGCAAAATTAGTTCAATAATTTCTATTTTCTTTCATTAACAATATATATTTATCATGTTATAATGGCAGTGTTTTCTACTTACTAAAGGTAATTTTGTACACTCTCTATTAGTTAAATTTTATTTTTTAAAATTTAATGGGATAATTTGTGTAAATGGTTGATTCATTTTTTAAGTCTCATGTGATTTTTTTACTGAAATTGGATGAATTATACTTGATTGAGTGAGATATTGGTCAAAATCTACATATACTCTAGCAGTCATTCAAATTCACGCAATTGGTTGATTTTTTATTAATATTGATCAAGAGAGAAAAGTATATGACGTGTTTATTCGAAATTTGTTCATTATTAATTTGCTCATATTTCAAACAATGTTATTTTTTAATGGTCATTATAATTGCATGATGTCTCAAGAGAGTTATTGTAAGTTATTCCTAAATATAAACATATATCTCAAAGGTAAAGGCAAATTCTAAGCTTTTTTAATCGTTTAGATAAATTTAACATTATATCATTTAGTCCAAATATATATAAAATTCAATTAAAATTAAATCCAAAAAAAAAACAAAAGATATATACACTCCACAAATTATTTAATTATAAGAGAAAGAACCTTTCAATGAACTTTATTTTATTTGATAAAATCTTAATGAAATGAATGGTCATCATACTATTATTTATTTATTCATTTTGAATAGGAGATTAATATTTGAACTAACCGTCATCCTACAATTAGAAAAATTAAGTCATTTTAGTCATTACTCAAGAAGTTAAAGAGTCGATTTTTAAGAATTAATATAACTTATTTTACATATAATAGTTGCGTTGATTAATCTTCCAAAAGTTCATAATCAATTCTTTAAAAATATAACTTATTTTCATTTAGATTGTAGTCCACATTGTGCTTTCGTTAAACCATAATTTCCAATTATAGAAAACCTCTACATATTTCCAATTATAGAAAGCCTCTGCATATCTTCATCGGAGAAAAAAGGTTGGATTTTGTTTTTTTATGAATAGCAAATTAAATCAGAATTCATTGTGTACATCAGCATTTTAGTCTCACACATACGTACAAGCAAGTATATAAAATAGCAAATAATTGCAAGAATCGATTATATATAGAGAGAGAGAACTGTTTGTTCATTAAAAAAATTCAAACTTTGCTTCTATTATTCTGAATAATTATTTTGATATATATCATTTAGGTCTTTAAAATAATAATAATAGTAATATACTTTTTAATAACATATACAGCTAGCATATTTTGAAATTTCAAGAATAAATGTAATTTCTCTATATGTATCCACGTATGTGTGGCTTTGTTTTTTCAAACATTAAGATGCTTTTAAATCATATTTATCAAAATAGTGTAGTTTTAATCTTATTTATTAAAATAGGATAATTTTGCCATGTAGGATTTAAATTTCCATGTTACATTTTTTAAGAATATTTCAATAAAAATTTTAAGAAAAAAAAACAATAAAAAAAACCAATTTAAACACTACTCTATCTCTCTCTCTCTAAAAACAATGCATCCCCTTTCAGATTTCTCTCCCCCTTTCTCTTTTCAAATTAAGGTTTTGTATCTAGCGTATGAGATTTTAATTGTTTTTTTACGTTTTTCTTTTTCTTTTACCTTTCTACTCTAAACACAAATTCTCATTGTTGACTTTTTCAAATTTTTAATCTTGTGTGTAATATAACAATTTTGTGACAAAAATATCATACTTAATTTGAGATAGGTTTCTCAGTTATTATATTTCTCTATATCAAAATTGTTTAGTGTAGAAATTTTGTAAGAGTACTTTTAGGGTTTATATAATTGGTTCAAGAGAGAAAAAAATTAGTTTACACCATCTAAAAGTTTTGGTTTCATTCAAATTCTTATTCGAATTGAATTTATATCAACTACGGATATTATAGATCCCAACTAGTTAGATACCTACACTATGTTGCGATCGGACAACCATTATATACTTAGTGTTAACGATTCATATGGTATGGTGTAAGTAGAAATTTGGGTTTTGGTGATTAATATAAATCGAATCTATATATTGAGCAAAATTATTTGATTTATATATATTTATTAACAAAATAATTAATAATATTAGCATAAAAAATTTGTATTTGAATAACTTAAAAGTTCTTTCAAAACATTATTTAAATTATTATATTTAAAAATACATATTTTAGAACATGAAAAAAAAATTAATAATTGATGTTATGTGTGCGGATAAATAGTTAAATAGTATAAATAAATCAATAATTTATTTCTAACAAAACTAATGATTCACATATATATATACCTACCTAAATTGTATAAAATTATATTGAAGTGAATAGATAAATAGTTAATTTTTAATAAAACTAATGATCCGTGTATATATATTCACTTAAATTATATAAAATATATCGAAGTTAATAAATTAAAAATAAAAACTACTACAAAATTAGTTCCGATAACTTCTAATCATATATATAAAAAAGCAAATAAAACCTATGAGTTTTTTTAAAATGATTATTATTTTTTAAAAAGAAATTTAATCAAATTATCTAAAACACACTTTTAGCTCTTTTTCTCTCTCTCAAAACTACTACAAAATTGATTCCAATATATATATATATGCAACTATACTACTTTTATTTAAAAATCATAAAAGTAATCCATCATATAAATCATAATAATATATTTTAAAAAATAAAACACTCACGTTCTAAAATTTTATTCAAAAATCCATATATAAAAATATCAAATTTATTAACAAATAAAATTATATATATCAAAAAATTAAAAAAATAATAATTTGATTAGAAGCTTAATAAGAACAAATAATTGAATAAATAAATTTTAAATAATAAAAATAATATAATCAGATATATATGTTCAAATAAAAATATGAAAAAGCATAATATATATCATATCACCATCAAACTATATGGAAAACTAACAGAAAAATCAATGCTAAAGGCTTGTTGAATTAACATTTAATCTGTAAATTGCTTTTTTTTTTTTTGTAATTGACAAAATAAATTACATTTACTCATTCCTTTTCCCTTTTTGATTTGTTTGTAATTGAAAATTTTTATTTTTATATTACACTTAAATATTACGACTCACAAAATATATACACATGTATATATAATTTTGTATTGAAAAAAAAGAAAGATGAATTGATAATTTTTTTTTTTAATTCTGTTACAAAAACCTATTGAATTTTAATTATTTTTTACAGCCCCCAGCAAGAATTTGGGAACATTCCAACTATCTTTCACAATTTTTTAAATATTTATTTAAAAAAGAAGTTCCTAATGTTGAAAAAATTTGAATTATTCTTTGAATTATATTACTTTTATTAGCGCTTTTTTTTTTTTTTTGGTTCAAAACACTAAAAAAGAATTTTTTTTATTTTTTTATTTTTGATTTTTTTGATTTTTTTATTATTATTTTTTTTTTGAAGATAATCGGTGAAGTTTAGCCAGTCTAACTGATAATGAAATTAAATAAGGAATAACGTACCTTTCGATATTTGTCACAATCAAACTGAAGATTTGGAAATCATTTCAAAGGGTAAAAAAAGAAGAATGGAAGTTCACGGAGACCGTGCGCCCTATGGCTCTTTGTTTTATATTATTGTCTGTACTCTTTATATCAAAGACTTAGACTCCCATAGCTCACACGCTATTGGGCAGTGGCTGAGCACAATTGGGACTGTGTGGCCAAGCCAGCCCAACAAGCCGAGGCCTGTGTGTGCAAGCCTAAGCGCCAGGCCAAGGCTGCTCGAGCCTGCTTCTCTAGGCCTGTGCTGCTGGCCGAAAAGTAATAATAATAATAATAATCTGCAACTTGAAGCGAACTCGAGGTAGCCGGAAGCTTCCTCAAAAAATCAAAGTCAAGTTCCATACCTTTAAAAATTTAACTCTAATATCAATTTTTTTCTCAAACACTTTTAAATTATCAAAATAAAATCAATAAACACATTTAAAATCTTAAAAATCATTTTAATATATATATAAAAAATACATAATCAAATCGATTTTTTTTCTTTTTGGCTTCGATCTACCTCCTCTAATTATTTAATGGCTTGAAACCACCATGAACAAATCCACCTATCAAAGATAAAAAAATCTAATAGATTTTCTCAAACTCAAGTAGCCTAAATAAACTTGGTCGACGATCTCTCTCTCCTCCCTCCCACCCTCTACACCCAAGGATTTAAATAGATTAACAAATTAAGATGTCCATCGAAATATTTGTTCGAAAATATCATAGATCAAAATGTAAAAAATTATATAATTTTTAAATACTAAAATCTAAAAAAATTACAAAACAATCGTCTATAATGTACTAAGTCTAGAAATATAGTAAATGAATAGTGAAAGTTTGTGCTATTTTAGAATACTATCGGCTACATAATGAAAAATGAAGTTGCTTGTTCATTAATTCTTGGCTATATGTTCTCCTTTTATCATGTTCCTTTTCTATGCTTTTTCTAGGTTTGCCTTTGCTATTAAAGAAGAAAATTTTTCTTTTTTCAGTTATTTATTCAAGAAGAGACAAATGCCCTTAGGATAGAAGACGAGCATGTTCGATAAACTAGAAGTTGATCCATTCTTCCAACGTTAAGATTTACTAAAACTTTACCCACATGCTTATGTGGCATATAACATATTTGTCATATTACCGTAGTATTTAATTATGTGGTAAAAAATAAATTATTTTAGAAAGGAAGTTTATAAATTAAGAACTAAAGATATCTTACTAGTTTGAAAAAAAAAACCTCCTTTATGCCTATATTCTGTATTCATGTGCCTGCTTTCGAAATCGGGCGTATCAAAATTCAGTAATATAAGAAATCCTATCAGCAAAATCTTTTCAAGCAAGTTGCAGTATCATTATTATATATGTATATATAAAAGAATTTCGGTCTGTGAGCAATGAACCTTACCTAATCCTGTGTCCTTCTATCGTGAAACTTGGGCCGTCAGATTGCACCATCGAGATTCTGTTCAACTGTGCCCCAAAAGGCGGCTTTTGCGTTGATCCCCTGTAGTCAGTCCCGTCAGCCTTTGGCACTGGCACAGTGGATCTATCTTTAAACCCTATGATCTTCATTTCCTCAAGATCAACGGTGACAGTAATTCCCTCAACTGGTCTCATATACAAGTTCACAGTACCATCTAAATAATTACACATGACCCTGACAATCCTTCTGTTCCTTTTCTTCTCTCCATACCAACCAATTGCAAAACTCGTACACACAATCTCTTCAACCTTGAGCCCCCTCTTCCTAACTGACTCCAAAAATGGTGCATATTTAAACGGCAATGCGTTGGCAACTTCTTGCTCTTTAAAAGTGAACATAGGGTAGCCATAACCATCATAAATTTTATCAGAAATAATCCTGTGGACTGACAAGTCAACAATGATTTCATGAGTTGTTTCGTTTATACGAGCTATGATAAATGCTTGTCGAGGTGGGGCTTTAGTAGCAGTGTCCTTCAGCCATGAAACAATGGTATGTTTGGTTGGTTCTTCAAGGCCTACGTAGTGAAAGGCTGTGCCGTGGCTTGACTTGGGGTACGAGTTATGGATTATGGATTGAACTTTGGTGAACTCGGTTGGGGTTACAGGGTCTAGTGGGTGTTGGTGAGTTGGTATAGTGGCGAGTGCAGAGAGGAGAAAGAATAGGAGACTCTTCGAGATGGAAGCCATGGATGCTAATGAGGACATACTTTTGTCCGACCCTAGAAGTAGAAGAGTCAACCAGTGGTCATTCGTATCCCAAAAAAAGCCAATAGTCATTTGTGTTTCGAAAATTTTAAGCTGTCATGTAATAAAAAATAATGGAAACTTTTTCAAAAAATAATAACCATTGGTAGCAAAATAAAAATCAACCTGTCACGATTTTGAAGAATGGATGTCGGCACATCCAGCCAACGGTGACTTACGGCCCTCTCAAATGTAAGAAACTATTCGTTGGACTTGGTCCCGCAGCACTCTTGCGAGGTGCTGATCTTGAATATTGAGATCATCTAAAGTTCATTGTGGTCACTTAAGTGGGAAAAAAAAAAAACAAACAAACAAAAACATGGCAGATCTCTGACTCCGAACGGAACAAGTGTGCCTTCGAGCATGATACAATTATATTGTCGTTTAGTACTTGAGTTGTAGTATTCAGAAAATATTTAAATATTATTTGAAACTCATCATGTCGATCAATGATTCATCGGCTGGACCCCTTAACCAGTGAGTCGGAATCTTTATGGGTTTCAATGTGGATTTTGATAACATTAGAGAATTACTTTATGATCCTCAATATGCAATAAACCTTAAAATTATACATTTTTGTTTCCTAGAAGAAGGGGAAATGAAAGCAAAATATTTTTTGGCATCCTATATGACAATCCCTCTTGAGATTTGTCGAAAGTTTAAAATCTCGAGTTGGCTGTTGTGTCTGTAGAACTCTGTACATTGTGGCAAAATAATAATAATAATAAATATCATCATAATGTTTTTTTTTTCAACTATGAAAGGTATTTTTATAAAGTATCAATTGAAACCAAAAAATATCATAATGTATTTTTTTATCAATAAAATATAGTTTTAAATCAATTATCATATTAAACTTAATCGGAACTAATTTTCATTCTCGAACTATTTTAAGCGTTTCCTCTAACATATGCTTTAAGGTGCTATTTGATAATTAAGAATAAAATTATAGGAATGAGAATAAAAGTTTTATTTCTATTATGTTATAGCTGTTTGGTTGAAAGGAATGAAATGGAAATGTAAATAAAAATTACACACAACTTCATTCCCATCTAAAATGTGGGAATAAAAACAAGGAATGAGAATGAATTTTTTTTCAAAATAATAATATATTTGGTTTATTTATTATTTATTAACTACTTCTACCACCACCACCACTGTAACCATAACCAAGACAACCACCAATAGCACCACCATCACTCGTATTATTTTTACAATCATTATAGTTTAATAAAATTATTTTTTAATCATTATTTTTATGTGTATAAAAAAATCGGATAGTAAAAAATTTAAATTGTATTTCGATTCCTCATTACTATTCTAAACACAATATGAGGATACAAATGTGATTTCAATTCTTGTATTCTCATTTCGTGCTTTTCATTTCTAATAACCAAACGACACCTAATTGATTTGTTCAACAAAAGTAAATATCATTGAACTTATCGGATTTATATAATTATCACTAGAATTAATAATTTTGTTGTTAAAAAATTATACTAATTAATCGATTAAACTTTCATTGCAAATATTTTGAACTAAAATAAGCAATTGGAACATATGTGAGGTCATCCATTGCAATTTTTTTTTTATTAACTATAGTTATAATATACTCCTAATCATACATGTGCTTATTGTTGTTTTCAAACAAGGTCATTCTTCTTCTTCTTCTTCTTCTCTTTTTTTTTTTTTTTTTTTTTAGAATTAAGTATGGGATTCATTTTGTTTTAATTATGAAGAGATTCATAATTTTTTTAGAAGGGAAAAAGAACATGAACCTACGAAAATGCCGACGATTTTGCTAAGTTTTTTTCACATCCGGGAATTAAAACACTCAAAGAAACATTGAAAATACCCTTAAAAATACATGAACCGGACAAAAAGCTAAGAGCTATATTTAGCGAAGTTTTGAAGGTTGGGGATTGATCTCGTGAATATATCGTTCGTTGAGGGCTAATTTATAGTTATCACTTTTTGTTTTAAGTGTATTTTTTTAAGAATGGACAAATAGATTTTTCACCCTTAGCAACCAGTTAAACGAATTAGATGGACGGTTAGTAACCTTAATAGAACACACTACCAAGACAAAGTCCATGAAGTTTTTTGCAAAATCTAGGACAAAATTAGACATTAAAAAAAAAAAAAAACCCTCATTTGAGAAAACTATTAAGAGATAATTCATCCCATTATTGCAAAGGGCCGGTTTGATTTGTAGGAAAAGTTCGTAATGGTTTCGGTGTAACTAGTTTTTTATCCGAATAAAATCTATAAAATTATTTTTTAAAAAATATTTTATTCCGATGTCTCATGTTATATTGTGCATCTACTAGAATATATCAAATTAAAATTGAATAAAAATTCATTCAATTTTATCATTTTTTTAATCAAAATTTTGTATTTTACTAATTATTCTTCATATTTTCATAAATTTTTTTATTAAAAAAACATTATTTATTCATTTCTATCCACATTTTTAGCTAAAAACTTATTTTGTAAATTATTTTTTCTAAACATCTTTTTGTCTTAAAATTTTTAATTAAAAAATTAAAAAAAAAGTAGGGACTAAAGTGACCAAAATGAAACAAAAAGTGGGACCACAATCAAATAAAAATATTTATGGACTAAAAAATAATATTTAAAAAATAAGGATCAAAGTTTAATGTCACCAAAACTTTCATAATAAACATTTCAAAAATGTTTAAAAACTATAAAAATGTCACTACATAGTGAAAGAAACAGTGAATCTAAGTTTAAGTGAATAGTGCATGAGTATGGATGAATGGTATTTGAAATAGTGCAATAAAAATTAAACTTGTGTTTTGGTTTAGTTTATATATATATATATATATATATATATATATATATATATATATATATATATAATTTGTAAATCAATTAAAGACATTGTCTTTTTTTTTCTTTTTTTATTCATTAGAGGGCCAATGGACCTAATAGGTTACACAATGGAGATAGTCTTTTGCATTACATAATCATCAAAGAAGCTCTTGTAAAAACATTGTCTTTGGATGCAATGGTTGCAAACTAGAATTAATAATGGTCAATGGTCAAACTTGAATATGAAAATTCCTATTTGGTTGAAGCCCTATTTTTTAACTAAAAGTGATAAAAAGATTTCTATCCGAACTCATTTTCTTTTTTATTTTCTCTCTTTTATTTCTCTTTCCTTTTATATCTATCTCTCTTTATGAAGTAACTTACACGGTTACCCCTTAAGTATTATAAAATCTAATAAAAAAATTTATAATACTCAAGGATTACCCAATATAAGTTACTCCATAGAGAGAGATAGACACAAAAAGGAGAGAGAAAATAAAAAAATTGAGTAGAGTAACTAGTGCACATATATAGTAATTATTCTATGAGTTCATTTTTCAGGAGATAGATAGATACATTAATAAATAAAAAAAATCATATTCGGACTCACCAAAAGTGATGAGAAGATTTTCACTTTGGTTCATTTTTTAAAAAATTTTCTATCTCCTATTTCTCTTTCTTTTTTGTGTTTATCTCTTTCTATAGAGTAATTTACACCGGCTACTCCTTAAGTATTATAAAATTTCTCTATTGTTTGAACCAAATGTGTCCTACTATCACTCAAGAATATTTTTGTATTTCATGCCCAAAATCCATGGCACCATCAAATAATTGTATGAAGAAATCTCAACTATGCATGCATCCGATTTTACATATTATCTTCGTCGTTCGTGAAAATAATATAGAATGGAAGTTAGATTGATAATCGATGAGTTATTGATCGACATGCATGCGATTTTACATATTATCTTGTTGTTCGTAAATAATGTAGAATGGAAGTTAGATTGATAACCGATGAGTCATTGATCCGACTCGTCTAACGATTTAGAATGTGTAGTTTTAGATGACGATGATAGTTGTTTTGCGATTATAAAACATGAAGTAAACTTCTTCTTTTTCTTTTCGCATTGTGTACTTACAAAACAAGTCTCATTGATTGAGTGAAGAACTCTCCAATACTCAAGTTAGTATTCGGAAGGTAATGAATTGGTCTGAAAAAAACTCTTTTATACTAGTATGTACTAATTTTGTATGAAATTTAATAAAAGAGGAGTTGTATATATAGGATGAACTTATTTGAAAAGTATTTTTAGGACATATTTTATTTTTTTTGTGGATTTGTGAATTGAAATCCATTCTTGTGAGGGTTCTTGTCTTTATACAGACAATCATAAGAGCAAGTTACTCTACTATTATTGTATTTGATTTTGTGATGGTATTAATATGATCACAACGAATGGTGATTTAATTGAAGTCATCAATGAAGATTTTTTATTAAATATTTTGTTTTTGGATGATAATAGAAGAGTGCAGTGTGTGTGTGTTTTTTTTTTTTTTTTTTTTTTAGCCAGAGCCCAATAGGATGGGAGGATTTCAGAATCTTGCTTGAAAGAGCGACCTTCTTTTAAGAATAATTGGTATCTTTTGAAGAACTTTAGATCCGCTTAATGAGAGAGCTTTTCTCGATGAGTTATGGGTCTTTATAGAGCTTGATGAGTTTTGAAATTATAGACTCATGCGTCCTTCTTGTTGAACTATATTGTTAAAAGGTTTCCCATAGTTAACAAATAATTTTTTCATTAAAAATAGAATGTCGTCCTTCCAATTAATCCTCCATTCCCAAGTCTCAAATAAAATTATAGAGAAAAAAAATCACACTTAATCCTGATATATCACATAGATTTGCCGAAACAATTAGTAAGAAGGATTTTCTGTTCTTTCTTTTTTCCTAAAAAGAAAGATAGTGTTACTTTATTATTTTTTATGCAAAAATCCATTGATTGAAACCTACTATACGTACGTTCTTGAGCAATTCGACCAATTGACAGACGGAGGCGGTTTAACTTTGAGAACCGGATTGCTCTCAAAAAAATTAGCTGGCCGGAGCTCAAACCCACTGCTTATTGTTGGCATAATTGGAAAATCTTCTTGGTATGGCACATGGTGAAATCCCAAAGTGTACCACAACACGATGTCCTTATTTTCTATCCCCCGATTCCTGCATTAAAAACAAATATTCACCAAACAAATTTTTAATATCAACTCTGTTATCTTGAGGTTTAAGAAGAAATAATCAAGATTATCAGCATCGTACTATAGTACCTGATGCTCCATCTTGCTAGGGTACCATCCCCTCGGCTTTGATCCACATAGAGTCCACCTGCCCATTTTTCAGACTTGTTATACGGTGTAACCCACACATTATATTTAGTGAAGGCTCCTCGAATTTGTGAATAATCATCGTCTGATAAGAGGGGACCAGCAAAAGACCCCGGGATCAAACGGTAGCCAACGAAGTTCCCCAAATCGGTCCTCTTGTTTGGATTAACTACTAGTAGATCAGCTTGCTCTACTCCAAGCTTAATCTTCGAATCAGACTCGGTTTTAGCCGTCTCACTGACAACCCTCCAATAACTTTTCCTCGGCGACCTTCGATTATTCACTGGGCTCGTTTGCAAATTGGACCTGACAAAGGAGTTTGCATCACCGTCCACATCAAGGTCAAGGTGGTAAGTAAGGAAATGATCATGGTGAGCACCCAGTGTATTCTCTGCTAATAGCGTGCCATAGACTTCTTCCTTTATTTGATCTTTGTGGGTGTATATTGATCCCCTAACTTCTAGCAAACCAGTTAGTCCAACCTGCAACATGAATTATATTCAGATACATTGCTCTAAATAACAAAAGGTAATGCTTAAGCATTACCTTGACTCTTTTAATGCCCTCTCAAAAAATAGAAACATCATTTTTAATTCATTGAGTTACCGTGACTTTGATTGAACCACTTTGCTTAAACTCCCAATCATTGATGTAATCGTAGTTGCCGACAGTAGAGACCATCCTTACAATCAGGGTCACCTCTGGCCTAACTTCTCTTATCTACACCATCACCATTCAGTCAAGCAATTAATGATTATGTCAAAATTTTGAAACAAAACAAAAAAAAACAAAAGCCACAATCACTAACCACTTTGCCTGGTATAAGAGTCTCGGTGTGCCGCCACATTATGTCTCCAGCATACCTCTCAAAGATGCAAAAAACATTAGGCATATTCACAGGCATCCCATTTTGGCCAGCGAAGTAAGCGTCCATGAAAACTGCATTTTCAGGACAGTCTCTAAGTGGCTCGAGTGGCACTGCACATAGACCATACCCATATTCACCAGCATCAAAAAATGTTCTGTAGTACCATTCTTCAGTTAGGTCCATGTATGGGACGAAGAGCTCTGATACAAATCCTCGATACAAAACTTGACGAAATTTTTGCTTCTGGAGATCAAATATTGATGCTAAGGATATAATTGGGCCTGCTCGAGCATCGAAACTCAGATGAAAATCCCAATTGGCCCACCTAGTACGCATATTAATACACCGTCAAGGTGGTGAAGATTTTGAAATTAAACGGGTAACAACCAGAAAATGAAAAAGGACCCAGATGACCACATATGTTGATAATTAATATAGTGTCGAGGCGATAAGAAACGGAGATCCTTTCATGTTCAAAAAAATATAATATATTATTTTCATTTAACTTAGGTCTTAAAAAATAAATGAATCGTTAAAATCTTTATATCAAATATTTACGTAATTAAACACTAAAATTAAGATTTTGATTATAACTTACCTTTAATATATACTTTTAAGTTTTAACTTCGTGATAGAAATCTAAAAATGGAAAAAGAAACTACAACATATCCTTAGAAAAAATTCTAAGATTTTAATTCTCAACATTAAATTTGTTGACATGTTAGTACTAAATACTATAAAGTTTTTAAACAATTTTCTAGAGTATTCTATCAATATATACGAGTGTTTGATGAGTTTTTCTTTTAAGAAGTTTTCTATTTATCTAGATATTAAAAAAAATGACTATCAATACATGAAAAATTTCTCTTCGTATGATAATTTGAATAATCAAGGTTATAGAACTAAAAAATAAAAAAATTGATAACGATATCTCTATTATTAAGAGTACGAAATTTTTTTAACTTTTCTTCTGTAATGTTCTCTCAAAATAATTTGCCTCGACAATTATATAGATTTTTATGCAATGTTGATTAAATTATCGTCTTATAAAAAAAATAATTATTTTTTTTCCTAACCAATGAAAGTTTTAAAAAGTACTCTAAATATACATTTTATAAATATTTTTTATGCATTAAGAAATATTCTTTTTTTTTTTTCTAGAGAATCTTAAGCACACTCAAATGAGATTAAGCTCTTTTTTCATGTTTTGTTTTAACTTCTTTTTTATTTTCTAGATTTTCTATAAAAAAAAGTAAAAAATATATATATAATAAAGGTAAGTATTAACTCCAAAACCTTAATTTTGGTGTTTAATTAAGTAAATATTAGTTACTAGAATCTTAGCCATTCATTTATTTTAGAAAGCTTAGATTAAAAGTGATATACCCAAGAAACTCTTAGATCAACCAAGGGTGACATGTGGAGAAACCGAGCCCTACATCGAGAACAACTTCGAAAGTCCTAAAACAATCTTGGAGGTACAAACACCACCCGAACGATTCCCGAATGAGCTATTCCTAGGCGGTTGACCAACCGTCGAGAACTTGCACCTACCCCTACCAACTAGAGGAACATAAAGTACATTTACTAAATAAAAGCACACATCTACAGTTATTTTTATCCAATCGACGATAACCCCGACATCACCATACTCATTCAACAATAATCCATAAATATTAAAGATATTTATCTCCAAATCAAAATTAGAAGTTGATATAAACAAGATAATGGTCCATCTTATCCTTCTTTTAAAGTAACTTAATAAACCCTTTAGCTATTTATATAAACAGTCTCAAAGACTTGAGATGAAGGATTCTCAATCTTTCAACTTAATATCGTTATTCGTCATTTTTTCTTACTTATATCAATGCATCATCGCTTTTTTCAGGCCACCATTCTCCTCTAAACATTAATTTAGTCATCGAAGGTCCTTCAACCTACCAAGAGAACTTGTTTTGGAGGTATTCTAGCTAGTTAAATCTTCATCCACCATCTAGCTTTGTAATCGCACTAACTAAAAAATGCTACCTCATCATACATCATCTTTCGAGGTTCATGACCTTATCGGGGATGCTATTTGTAGAGAATTGAGATAAAAGTTAGTTTCTAACTCATTATTCAATCTCCAAAATTTTTCATGATTGAAAATAAAAAAACATATATCCACGATGATTAGGGATGACAATTTCCCTCGTCCCGACGGAGCCCCGCCTCGTGAGCAATGACGAGGAGGGGATGGTATTTGCATGCTCCGTCCCATTTGCCCCTAAATTGTTTTTCATTAAAATTATAATTATACCTTATATAAAATCTATGGCTAATGATTTTTAGAATTTATTTTCTATATAAACTATTATTTTTTTACTATAGTTTGAAATTTGATAGTAGAATGGGATAAGACGAGATAAATTTTTTTCATAATTTTTGGCCCATTTACCCCACTAATGCCTCGCGGGGATCCCCGTCCCCATTTGGGGTGGGGATGGTATGAAAAATTTTGCTCCGTTCGGGCCACGAGTGGGATGGGATAAAAGTTTTTAAGGGCGAGGCGGGGCAAGGACGAGGATGGCAATCCCCGCCCTACCCCATTGCCATCCCTAACAGGTGATGTGGTGGACTTGGCCAATGATGTGCTTAACTAGTGGACCTCCTTCAATTGCAACAACAAGTTTAAAGGTTGACGGAGCACTCCTCGTTAAGCATAAGCAATTCAAAACTTTTACTATTTTTCACCAACATCGTTAACACCTACCACGAGAAAAAAAATCTTACCATCTCTTCTTTTAAAATGCACGAGCAACTACATTTTAAAAAGGATATAGAAAGAAATGACGAGATGAAAGCCAAATAAAAGAATGCTACTATCGTTATAACCCCTAAAGACATCGCTCCCACCACCATAAAAACAACGCATTAGCCAAAGCTCTAAGTAGGGGTAAAGAGGAAAAGGAAGGAAGGGGGAGGATCGGAGCATCGCTAGGATCAAAGACATTGCCAAGGGAAGCACGATTAGGAAAACACATATTTTCAAATGGCCTTCGTTAGTCTCGAGCCCAAATGACATCAAATAAAATAAGATCAAAAGTGGCTTAAGAAATCAAACTAGATTGTTATGATAACATGGTCCATGCCTCTCTGTTTGCTCCCTATTTATCGAACACCAAGCTTCTAAAAGAGTTATGTATATATGAACTTAGACATATGTGCGGGTTAACCGATCACGAGAACATGTGAAAAATGTTAAAGGCACCTCGATCTCATACTTCAAAGCACGAAAGCCATATTCAAGATCCTCTCCACCACTTTCAAGGTAACGGCATAAAAGTGGTATAATCATTTAGATAATGAGTCCATACTTAATTTTGAGGACTCGTGCTCTAAACTCATACTTCGATTCTACAATAGCATTTTTGTTGAGAAAAGCTCCACTAACCTATTCTCCTAAAACAAAAATGAGAGCACTCGGATATACTTATCTAGGTTCCACAAAGAGATATTAAAGATATATATACTATTAAAACTTGTTGCCACGAAGTCTTAATAGATGTTGTATACAATGTTAGGTTATAGAGTGAACTCTAAGATCTCTTAGAAAATAGCGAGAAAACCATACCCGAGTTGAGGAGAATAGCATTGCTAGAAAAAATCATCCCTATTTTCAAAAGTCAAAGTAGAAGAGTACCAACAACGACAAGTCTCCCCAAATCCTTCAAAGCCCCAAGAAAATTCCAAAGGTTTCGTCAACATCGACTTGGTATTTTCTAAACTCAAAATATGCCTTTGAATGTTACCCAAGTAGAGGTGTATATCACAATACAAATAGAAAACTACATCTTCTACCTTTCTTTTATGAAAAATGCTCCCCAATATCGAAATTCAAAAAAGTACTCTCTTCTATAAACAACAAACATGACACGAAAGGATTGTTTGGTTAGAATGATTGATCACCAAAAGCTACCTCAAACAACGTATAAAGGTATTAGGCAAGACCGTAACATAGTAGCACCCAATAAGTAGCATGATCCCCTCTTAAAAATCAACTTCACTTAAAATGAGATTTTCAAAATAGTACTCCAACAAGAAAAGAAAAATATATAAGAAACATGTCTTTGTCACCTTATGAATGCCCAATTCCTAGCATGAATCCATTATTTTCACCATAAAGAATGTAGAGGAAGTCATCTTTCCTATGAGCATGCTCTTATCGTCACCACAATCATCTCCAATTATCGAGTCCTCGTACATGATGACAACACAATCAATATTCTCTAGCGAGAATCTTTAATTGATGAAGAGCAACACCTCTAAATTGCTCTCTATCAAGACCTTTTTAGTAGGGATAGAAGTAAAAAAATACCAATGTAAGAAGCAATTAAAATACTAGTCACCATAAGTACCTATCCATAATCCATAACACTCTAATAGACTTTCATGGTCATTCATATGGACCTTACGTAGAACATCATTATTGAAAGGCTTTTACTTTACGAGATAAATGCAATCATCAACACAAGATACTTGAACCTAAAGTTTCCTATCGAGGGTGGCATGGCTATAGTTAGAGACAACTAGTTAGCCTTTTATAAATGTGCCTCTTTTTGCTTAAAAAAGAAAAAGGTCATGGTAGTCGAGGATTTGAGTCAATTGTTAGAGATGAAGGAATGATCGACGAAAGTGGCTTAGGAGCACTCGAGCATGGCCCTAAAAGGGAAAGATCCAAATTTCTTTACTAAAATTAGATCAACCCGGAGAATTCGAGTAATAAGAGCAACTTGTTGAGCTCCTCAAAATCCAAAGCAACAATTTTTCTTTTTGTTTGGCTTATATGTCTAGGATCGGTCTGGATGTAGTCTTATATAGACTAAAAGTTAACCTTTTTTTTTCCTCTCATTTATCAAAAAAGAAATTTTGAGGCGAGAGAGACAAAAGGCGATCTCTATAAATATGGATAAACTCTAAAAGGCAGGATTCACTAGGTGTATCCTAATTGGCTAGCAAAAAACATAATGGTGAAAAAGCCTAACGAAAAATGGAGGATATGCGTCAACTTCATCGATCTCAATAAAGCTTGTTCCAAAGACGACTTTTCTTTCCCTATAATAAACATATTGGTGGACTCCATTGTCGAATTTAAATTTTTAAAATCCCTATATGCCAATTCGAGATATCACTAGTCCACATGCACCTCGACAATGAGTAGAAGACCTTCATTATTATGGACAAAACGACACATTGCTACAAAGCCACGCCTTTTGATTTGAGAAACATAAGGGATACTTATCAAAGAATAATAGATAAGGTGTTTGGAGTCTAAGTGGACAAGAGTATGCATGCCTTTATGGACGACATGTTAGTAAAAAACATTAACTTTGAAGAGTCCCTTTAAGATCTTTAAGAGATATTTTCGAACCTTCACAAGCATCAAATGAAACTCCATCAAATGTGCATTCACCATTAAAAAGAGAATTTCTAAGATTTCTCATGAGCAATAAACGAATATAACTAAATTTATAAAAGATCCGGACCATTTTGGACATATCTCCTCCTAATTCGGTAAAAAATGTGCAAAGACTCATTCAGCTACACTAAATCGCTTCATTTTCCAACTAAGGGAAAAATGCTTGTTTGTTTTTCGTACCTTTGATCGACCGACCACTTAGACAAATCCTCTACAAATTGGACTCGTTTAAACACTTAGTTTGGTGAGCCATTGAGCTAGGAGAGTTTTGACTTCAATACCGACTACAACTTATAAAGAAGACACAAGCTCTAACCAATTTCATCGCTAAATGTTCTTTTAATGACTCGACAAGAGAGGAACAAAGAAGCCTTGATCCATAAAAGATTCTAACTAATTTCATTGTTGAATGTTCCTTCAAAAACCCAACAAGAGAGGAACAAATTCCAATAGAAGCCCCGATCCATCAAAGATGAAAATTATTTATTGACGAGGCCTCTAATATACACAAAATTGGTAACGAGTATAATTCTTGTCATCTAGACCAAAATGTGTTTGAGCATGGGCTTCGTTTCAAGTTATCCTTTTTAAACAATGTAACCGAGTATGAAGCTCTAGTAGCTAGCCTAATTTTGGCAAAAGCTTTGAAGGCCAATACTTTCTATGTTCATTACAACTTTTAGTTGATAATGGACAATGCGAAGGACATTTTAAGGCGAGAAAGCCCTTCGTGGCCAAGTACCACTAGTTGGTGTTGAAACATCTTGCGAATGCCAAGAAAAAAAGGAGAATAATTTTCATTTCCTAGATCTTTAAGTAAGAGAACACACAAGTAAACCTCTTATCAAAGTTGGCAAATACTAAACTTATATAGCTCCCGTCAAAGGTATGTATAGAAGTCCTAGAAAAACCTAGCATCAAAAAACAAGATAAGCTTGTAATGGTTTTTATAGTCTAACAACCTATCGAAGAAGATAAACAAATGTTGATTGAGTAATATTTGAAGAATGTGACACTTTTTATAGATAAGACAAAGACCATTCATTGACAAAACAGATGACTAGATATTGTTTATCTAACGAGAAAACTTACAAAAGGTCCACCACACACCTCTACTAAAGAGAGATCCAATATGTGCTTTGAAAAAAAATGCATAAACGAGTCTACATTTTACATACGAAAATAAAGACTAGCCATTCGAGCCATCGAAGCAAGTTTTTATTGCCTCTCTATCATTTGGAACACCGAAAGTTCGTTAAAAAGTGTGATAGGTGCTAGAAATTTGCCCCGATCTTGCGCCAACCATTGTGGAAAATGACAACCAGTCCACCCATAGTTTTTCTTTTAGTGTAAAATGGTCATAGTAGGTCTGTTTTCCTAAAGCCTTAGGGAAGACACGGTTCATATTGGTGGTTATTGATTATTTGTCCAAATGACTAGAGGTAGAGGCTGCGGTAGATATCAAAATTAGAAAAATGATATTCTTTATGTGGAAAAATTTTATATCCTATTTCAACTTACTCATGATTCTCATATCTAATAACGACCTCTAATTTAATAACAAAAAGATGACAGAACATTGTTAGAGCTCCAAATGAACCATTGATTCTCTTCGGTCTTCTACCCTCAATCGAATGGTCACACTAAGCTCACTAATAAAATCCTCTTAAATGAGCTCAGAAGAAGACTAAAAGCGAAAAAGGATTGGGCAAAGCTCTTTCATTAGTAATATATCAATATTAGATACACTTATTCTCTAATTTGAATAAAAAGTCTATAGTAACAAGGTTATGAGTCATTTTATCCCTCTTTTCATGTAACTTGAGGAAGTGGTTAGCTATATAAACACACAAGATGCTTTAGATGAATGGCTCTAAATCTCTCTACTTGTTGCTACTATTCACCATCTATTTCATACTTGCACTACTATATCATTGTCTTTTCGGACCTATCATTTCGTTCTATATATTGATTTAGTTATTAGAGGATCATCAAAACCACCAAAAAAAACTTATTTTGCAAATACTCTAATCAGTTAGATCTTCATTCACCATCAAACTTTATAACCGTACTAATTAAAAAAGATATATCACTTCACACATCATCTTCCAAAGTCTACAATCTCATAAAAAAAAATCATGTTAAAAAGAAAATAAAACGATCTCAATGCATGAGAGCCTTCATGTTAGGCCTCCAAGTTTGACAAAAATTCAAAAAATATTATGATGGATGTTTATTGGCGTTTGCTCCAAATACACACACACACGATACATTTGTTCCAAAACATTAAAAAGAACGAGAGGACAATCTCAATGCATGAGAAGGTCCTTCATTTTTCATAAAGTTTAAAAAAGTTATTAATTGTTATTTCATATCAATATTTATTGATCATACTTTTTAAAAATATTATTTTCATTAAAATTGTTAGTTATCAGATTTAATTCTACATTGCATGGAACCAATATTAATTTAAAGAGAAAATCTGTTCAAAATTAAGGTGGTAAATAAATAAAATCATTAAGCTAATTAACAATCAAGTTTAAAATAAGAGTAAATATATTTATTTGTCTTTATATAATACTCAAAACCTCTTATATGTCTTTAGATTTCTAATTGAATCTTTTTTGTTATTAAAAATAATTGAAATATTCAATCTATCATTCCAATCAATTTTTTTCGATCAAATAATTTTTTTTACCACAATGCTCCCGATTAAAATGTAAAAAAAAAAAAATTAAAAAACTTAAAAAATAAAACATGTAGGTCATATGAATTTAAGCATTTTGTTTTTTAATTTTTTTGTATTTTAATAAGAGATATTTCAATAAAAAAATTTTATGTGTGAAAATTTTGATTGGAAGAATAGATTGAACATTTCAAACCACTTTTAAGAACATATATGATGTAATTAAAAATCTACATATAGATAAAAAACTTTGAATATTATATAAAAACAGATGAATATATTTATCATTAAAATTATTGTGAAAAAAATACACTAATAAAAATATTTTACTCTCAAAATTTTAGCATGCAGTAAAATCTTTACGAGAATAAACATTTTTCATATAACAAAAAAAAATTCTTTGAAATTTTTATATTATAGATATTTATATGTATTAAAAAATATAAAAAAATGGTTTTTTTTTTGCTGGTAAAGAATATGAAATGAGAGAAAAAATTAATTTTTATCAATTAAAAATAATTTAATAAAATATATTATTTAAAATTTTAACTATATAAATATCTTGAAACAAAAATAAAATATTTGAAATGAAGAGAGTTGCAAAAAGAATCGTTAAGAATTATTTTATAAATATTAAATGCCATTAGATTGTCGGATTAGAGAAACATCAACGGATTATTCTAGTACTTTACATATGACAATTATTGAAGAACCCGACAAATGACAATTATGGATGAACCCATCGTATCTTCCACGAAATTAAACGGCACCTACTATTTTAAGAGCGAGAATTCTATAATTTTTAAAGTGCTTATTTTACTTAGTAGTCTTACATGACATGTAAAAAAAAATATATCATAATTTTATAAGCATAATATTTTTTAAAAAAATAAAAAAATTATTTTATTTTAATAAATATTATATCATTTAATATTTTTATTTTTTAAATTTATTTCTAAATTATTTTTATTTTTGAAAATAATAACGGTCACATGTTATAACCAACCATTTTCCTATTTTATTAGTTCGCGTCAAAACCTATGGAAAATAGCACCACCTGCCTATAAACTCTTCCCAAGAAAGAATCATCATGCACCCACGTGATTTCATTCAATATCAGAAAATATGTGCTGTCATGTTAGAAAGGGCAAAAAAAAAAAAAAAAGCTTACCTAATCCTTTGTCCATTAACAGTAAAACTTGGACCGTCAAGTTGAACCATCGTGATCCCCTTCAACTGTGCCAGGAAAGGAGGCCTTTGCTTTGATCCTCTATAGTCAGTCCCATCTCCTTTTGGTATCGGGACCGTTAATCTGTCTGTAAATCCTATAATCTTCGTCCCTTCAAGATCCACGGTCACAGTAACTCCTTCAACAGGCCTCATGTACGCATTCACAGTGCCATCTAAATAGTAACACATGACTCTAACAACCCTTTGGTTCCTTCTTTTCTCTCCATACCAACCAATAGTAAAACTCCCACATACAACCTCTTCAATCTTGAGCCCTCTCTTTCTAACGGACTCCACAAACGGTGGGTATTTAAGCGGCAACGCATTTGCAGCTATTTGCTCTTCAAAAGTAAGCAAAGGGTAGCCATAACCACTATAAACTTTATCAGAAAAGATCTTGTTCACTGTTAAGTCAATAATGATTTCATGAGTGGTTTGGTTAATACGTGCAATGACAAAAGCTTGCCGAGGTGGGGTTTTGGTGTTTGGGTCTTTTAGCCATGAAAGAATGGTGGGTTTGTTTGGCTCTTCTAGCCCAACGTAGTGAAAGGCTGTGGTGTGGGTTGATATGGGGTATGAGTTGTGGACTATGGTTCGTACTTGAAAGAATTCGATTGGCGTTAGGGGGTCCAGTGGGTGTTGATGCTGGTGGGTGAGGATGATCGAGAGAGTGGAGATAAGAAGGAAGATGATACTTTTGGAGATCGAAGCCATGGATGTTGGTGAAAAATGTCTTTGTCCGATCGTTTTATAATAGAAGATTAGAAGGCCCCACCGATGGCCATTTCTCCTCAGTTTGTACAAGGAAAGAATATATATATATATATAGACAGAGAGAGAGATCTTGAAATAGCATTATAACTTTGTCTTTTTTTCCGTATCGTTCTATTCATTAATTGGCTTAGAAATTAAGAACAGTGGATGTATTTGGACCAACAATGTTTAAACTCCGAATCATTAATGTAGTCGAAATTGGCAAACGGTTGACACCATCCTCACCCCCAGGCTCACCTCTTCTACCTGCAACACCACGATTCACTTGATGCCATGTATCAAACAAAATTATGTTAAAAATATACCTCATCTAAAATTCACCAACACCTAAGCCTGGTATTGCTGTTTCCGTGCCGCCACACTTTGTCCCCACTCTCTAGCATATATGCCTCTCAAAGATGTAAAGGGCATTATGTGTCTTTACACGTATCCCGTTTTGGCCAGCAAAGTTAGCGTCCATGAAAACTGCATTTTCTGGGCGTTCCCTAAGTGGCTCAAGCGGCGCTGCAGATTGACCAAACTCATAGTTCATTTAGGTCTGTACAAGACATAAACATAGAGATTGATCAAGAACATTAAATCACTCTTAATAAGAATCCTTCTTATAAAATGATCTTTGTTGTGCTTAACAGCATTGACCATATTCACTAACAAAAATTTGATTTTAAGTTTGAATATTCTCATATGAACTTCAAGAAAGTTTTTTTAATTGGGTTTAAAAAGTTTAAACATCACATCCAAATTTGATATATATATTTAGAAGAAATATTTATCTTTTAAGTCAAAGGAGATCACCTTCTTATCCAAGGGTATTTGCCTATTTTTCGGATTTGTTCATTTCAAACTCACTATTTATTTTTCATTTTCATTTATCTAGGCATAATCATTAGATCCTACAATTATTTATTAGTACATATTTTTTATAAAAAAATTAATTAATTTTGAAAAAATATTTAATAATAACTAACTTTAAGGTAGCTTAGATGATTTTTTTTGTTTATGAATCTTAATTTTATTGTTAGATAATTTGAATAATGTGCAATAGATATATCTAGTTTAAAAAACATTGAATTATTATTATTATTTTGAAATTAATTTTAACTCTAAAATAGATATGAAATACTTAAAACCATGTCATTTAAATATTTCAGTCATCGATCAACACTTTAACTATAAAAAATAATAGCAAATGATCAAATTTTGTAAAAAAATAATTATAATAGTTTGAAGTTCAAATAGTCTAAATTGATAATATAAACCTTATCTCGCAACAACTTCAATAGTTTTTGAATAAATTTTATTAAATTATATTATAGTTAATGGTCAACTTTTTAACCATTAGAGATAACAAAAAAATGATAATATTTGCTCGAAAATAATAGTTTAGGATCTAAATAGGCTAAATTGATAATATATATATATATATATATATATATATATATATATATATATATATAATTCTTAAATTGTCATAACCCAATAATTTAGGTGTGATTTTTTGCATTAAATCATAATTTGGCAAAGCAAAATTAGAGATTTAAATGCTCTTCATAATACATTTGAGAAGTTATGAAAAAGGACGTGGAAGTGCAAAGAGGAAAAAAAGAAGGATGAAAACGTAACGACATGATCCACTTAATAGCCTAAAAGATAATAAATATATATATATATATATAAGAAAGAAAGAAAAATAAAACTCTCTATAGTAAATTTGAAAAGATACGAAAAAGGACGTTGAAGTCTACGGACAAATGATAGAAAAGAGGACTAGCAAAAAAGTAATAATAGAGCTACTTAATGGCGATCTAACTTAAATAAGGTAACATAATAACAGGACTACCTAATCCGGAGACCAAAAATACATGTGTGCAAAATATATAAATTGTCTACAAAATAACAAATGGGTGATCCAACAACTCAAAGAATTTCAGCAACAACAACTTAAGATTAGATGACGGCTAGTGATCAAGGGAATGAGCATAATGCACTTGAGTTTTGGTAAATAATCTAACATGGCTTTGTAAACGAGTAACAAATGAAAAACAACCTATGTATTTTAGTGTCTTACTAGTTGAATATCCGCACTACGTTGCGGATAGACAATCGTTATATACGTTGGTTTAACGATTCATATGGTGTAATATGAGTAAAAATTTTTGTTTTTAATGATCAATATAAATCGAATCCATATATAGTTAATTTCTAACAAAATTAATATATATATAATTCGTAGTATATAGAATAAATAAATAAAAATATATAAAAACCACCTAAACTCGTAGAAATATATTGAAGTGAATAGATTAAAATAAAAACTTCAATAAAATTGATTATGATAAATTCTAAATAAATATATATATAGAAAGCAAATAAAACTTGTGAATTTTTTTAACTTATTATTATTTTTTAAAAAATTGAATCAAACTATCTAAAACATACTTTTAGCTCTCTCTCTCTCTCTCTTAATATATATATATATATATATATATATATATTAGAAAATAAAACACTCATAAAAATAATTTATTGCATAAATTATAATACCATATTTTAACAATAAAACATTGATGTTCTAAAATCTTATTCCAAAATTCATATATTAAAAAACAAACTTATTAACAAATAAAATTATAGCAAAAAATTAATTTAATAAGAAACAAATAATTAAAGAAATAAATCAATATCGATTTAGGGACATTGAAAGGATCAATAATATATATGTTTTCTTTCTTAATGAAATGACCAATTATATATGATCGCTTAACTTGTACAACATTTTTGAAGATCCCGTTATGCTATGACAATATGTATATTCTTTTAAGTATTTTCTTTTGCCTTTTGGTGATGCAATCCTAAAACACATCAAGATTTAAAATAATTAGCCAACTTTTTTTTTTTTTTTTTGGTTCTATCATGAGATTGGTGGCCAAACTTTTAAAAATATAAAATAAATTATAGGAAAAAAAATGGCAGTGGTCGTTCCTAGTTAGCCTATGCGACCAGTAGAGCCCGTGGTGCTTAGGTCCGCGAGCCGAGCTAGGGTTGCTCACCCCCAAGCTCGGGTCGTTTGGGCCTACTTCTCTAGGCCTCGACCATCGTTCAACCCAAAAAAAAAAAAAATCCGCAACTTTCGAAGAACTCTAACTCATCGAATCTTCGTCGAAAATTCACGAGTCCGAGTTTCGGACCTCAAAAAACTCAATTCTAGCATTTTGTTTTTCAAACACCTCCAAATGACTCGAAATAAAGTCAAAAAATACTTTTAAAATCTTAAAAATCATTATAATGCACATTAAAACAAAAAGAAAATACATAATCAAATCAAGTTTTTTTTCTTCTTTTTGGCTCCGATCTACTTCCTTCAATTATTTCATGGCCTAGAATCACCATAGAAAAACTAATCTTTCAAAAATATCAAGGACCAAAATGTTAAAAAATTATAATCTACGATAAATGAATAGTAGCTACTCTTCAAATAACCTAGTTCTTTTAATTTTCTTTATAATAAAACCCGTGAATTTTTTTAACTAATTATTTATTTAAAAAAAATTGAGTTAGATTAATTTTTTAATTGATTATTATTTTTTAAAAAAATTAAGTAAAATTATCTAAAACACACTTTTAGGTCTCTCTCCCTCATCGAATTTATATATGCAATTACGCTACTCGTTATTTAAAAATCATAAAAATAATCAATTGTATAAATTATAATAATATATTTTAAAAAATAAAAAAATCAAGTTCTAAAATTTTATTTCAAAATCCATATATAAAAAATCAAATTTACTAACAAATAAAATTAAAAAATTAATTCGATGAGAATTTTAATAAGAAACAAACAATTAAAGAAATAAATTTTAAAAAATAAAAATAATATAATTAGATATATATGTTTGAATTAAAAAATATATATATATGTTCTATTAGCGTAAAACTATATGTAAAACTAAAAAATATAACAATCTTTTTTATATTTTTACACCTAATTTTATGAAAAAAAATATAAAAATAATTTATTTATATAGAAGGGGAACAATTATCATCTGATATTTAAATAAATCATTAATTAATTAATATTATATTATTATAAAAATATATTTAAAATAATATTTAACTAATACAATGTAATATTAATTTAATAATATGGTATAATTATCAAATATATTATATTACTAAATACTTATCAATTTTTATATATATTCAAATTCATAAAATAATTTATTAATATATTATTTATATCATAATTTAAAATAATAAAAAAATATTATATTGTATAATAAAGATAATATTCACAATCAAAATACAAATAACTATTTTATAATAATAATTTGATATATATATATTTTTTTGTAAAATATAATGATAATATATTATAATTATTAACTATAAATAAATTTATTATTTTTTAAAAATATATTTCTTATAAATAAGGACCTAAATAATATATTTGACCATATAATAATAGTCCTACAAATACGAAACCGAAAAAAAAAGGAGGCTAGACATTAAAAAAAAAGAAAGAAAACAAAAAAAGCACTACATAAATACAATATTCACAATCAAAATACAAATAACTAGTTTTTAATAATTATTTGATATTTTATGTAAAATATACTGATAATGTATTATAATTATTAACTATAAATAATTTAATTATTTTAAAAAAATATATTTATATTTTATAATAATTATTTGATATATTTTTGTAAAATATAATGATAATGTATTATAATTATTAAGTATAAATGATTTTATTATTTTAAAAAATATATTTCTAATAAATAAGGACCTAAATAATATATTTGACCATATAATAATAGTCCAATAAATATAGAAACTGGAAAAAAAAAAAAGAGGCCGGACGTTAAAAAAACAAAAACAAAAAAGCACTACTATTTTTTTGTAAAATATAATGATAATATATTATAATTATTAACTAT